TTACTCCGGTTACTGCTAGTTTCAGTTTGTTGTAGGGGTTTTCCTGTGTCAGTCCTGTGGAGAGTGGGGTTTGTGCATTACTAACGGGGGTGTGGAGTGGAGCCGCTGCCATGGGGAATAGGCGCGTCCCTCAGCAGCCTGGCACACCAGAACGCGTGAGGGGTGGCATGCGGCCGAGCAGTGTGGTCCAGGCTAGCACGCCTGAGTCATGCACTCTAGCTCCTGGAGTCAGTTCTTGCCTCTGGCTTCCGGGTGCTACACAGCTTGCAAGCCAGTAGTGACCACAGCGCCAGGCCACACCCCACAAGGTGAACTTGCAAGCACTTGGCCTTGTCTTTCTATCTGAAAGTTCCTCAGCGGTTCCGGCAGGCAGGTTAAGAATAGCTGGAGGGCCTGGTGTGATAGCCTAGTGACTAAATCCTTGCTTGCATGTGACAGGATCCCATGTGGGTGCTGGTTCATATTCTAGCTGCTCCACTTCCCATCCAGCTCCCTGCCTGTGGCCTGGGAAAGCAGTCGAGGACGGCCCAAAGCCTTGGGACCCTACACATGCGTGGGAGACCTGGAGGGAGCTCCTGGCTTCAGATCAGCTCAGCTCTGGCCATTGCGCTCACTTGGGGAGTGAACCAGTGGACAGAAGATCTTTGTCTCTCTCTGTAAATCTGCTTTTCCAATAAAATAAATCTTTAAAAAGAAATAAGTAGGTGAAACAGAGCCCAGGGCCGCTGTGTGTGGGGTTGAGCTGCCATTGGCAATGCCTGCGTCCCATATTGGAGCGCTGCTCACGTCCTGGCTGTCCTGCGTCTGATCGCAGTAACGTGTCTGAGAAGGCAGCGGAAGGCAGCCAGGTGCCTGCCCCACGGGGGAGCAGCATGCAGTTCTGGCTGCTGGCTTCTGCGTGGCCCGAGCGTGGAGTGAACCAGTGGGTGGAAGACCAAGATTAGCCTCTCTCTCCCTCTGTCTCTGTGCCATTCAAAATAAGGAGCACCTGGCACACTGGGCTGTGTGGTACTCCACGCTGGGCAGCTGGCACGCAGGGCTGTGTGGTACTCCACGCTGGGCAGCTGGCACGCAGGGCTGCACCGTACTCCACGCTGGGCAGCTGGCATGCAGGGCTGTGTGGTACTCCACGCTGGGCAGCTGGCACGCAGGGCTGTGTGGTACTCCACGCTGGGCAGCTGGCACGCAGGGCTGCACCGTACTCCACGCTGGGCAGCTGGCACACAGGGCTGCACCGTACTCCACTCTCCCTGGATCGGGTGTGGCAGGAGCTGCTGTGGGGGGCTGTTGAGCTGGGCGTTCCATCAAGCACTTCCTGCAGGAGGGTTGGTTACAAGCCAGCCCTCACCTGAGGTGCAGGCAGGTGGGTGCTGGCCACTGTGGGCCCACAGCGCATCCCTGCCGCTCTTATTTCCTACTGTTGGGTTAGATGAGCGCTGTGGCCCCGTGGTTGGTCTGTCGGCGTCTCATTGTCCTCCCGTTTTAGGGACGGGCGAGTCTTGGGCGTGTTGGAGGTATCTCGTTCCATCGGAGACGGACAGTACAAGCGCTGTGGGGTCACATCCGTGCCAGATATCAGACGCTGCCAGCTGACTCCCAACGACAGGTAAAGCCACCCTCCGGGCACAGGTGTGCGCCTCACTTCTCCACGCAGGGATGTGTGAAGGGAACTCCATGTCTTGGGCCCTAGAGATGCAGAGAGCAATGGATGCGGCCTCTCCTCCAGGGAGGGCCATGGTGGCGCAGATCACCAGGGGACAGGCGGTGGCCGTCGGGGTGCTGGGAGTGTGGGCTGCCCTGGTGCAGGACTGCCCTGAGCAGGCAGTGGCCAGCTGACACAGGAAGGCCGCCGGAGCCTTGGAGGATGAGTGAGAGTGTGATGCTGGCTCAGGGAACCACACCCTGACACCTGTCGCTGCCGGTGACGCTCCAGCTTGTCTGGGATCTGACAGCACCCAGTGTTGGAGAGTCCGGATTCTGCGTAGGGAGAGCAGGCGCTCTGGGTCTTCATGTAGAATCCACAGGTGGTTTCAATACTTGTAACTTTTGAATCATGGAGGTGGTTTTATTTTTTAATCTTAGCCATGCAGTAATTGGACAAATGTTCATTTTAATTTTACCTCTAGGCCAATTTTTAAAAGGATTTATTTATTTTTATTGTAAAGACAGATTTATAGAGAGAAGGAGAGACAGAGCAAGATTCCATCCACTGGTTTACTCCCCAAATGGCCACAGAGGCCAGAACTGAGCTGATCCCAAACCAGGAGCCAGGAACTTCTTCCAGGTCTCCCAGGCTTTGGGCCCTTGTCCACCGCTTTCCCAGGCCACAAGCAGGAAGCTGGATGGGAAGTGGAGCTGCCGGGATTAGAACCAGCGCCCCCGTATAGGACCCCGGTGTTTGTAGGTGAATTGGCCAGCTCTGCGGCCATCTTGCTTTTAGAATGTGCTGGAACTCCTTCCGTCTCCTCTTGGTGTTGCAGATTCATCTTGCTGGCCTGTGACGGGCTCTTCAAGGTCTTCACCCCAGAAGAGGCTGTGAACTTCATTCTGTCCTGCCTTGAGGTGAGGGGTCTGAGGGGTGCCCGCTGTCCCAAGTGCACCCTGACTTCCGGAGAGGCCTCTGCCCCGAGGCCCGAGTGCTCCCGTGGGCGGCCCTTGTGCTGTGTGTGCCCCCCATCCCGGGTCAGCGTGTCCTGCGTCGTCAGAGGCGGAGCAGGTCTCCCCCGGCTGCGGGGTCAGGCCCCTTTCCCGTGTGACAGGACGACAAGCTGCAGAGCCGTGAGGGAAGGCCAGCCGTGGACGTCCGCTACGAGGCCGCGTGCAACCGGCTGGCCAGCAAGGCGGTGCAGCGGGGCTCGGCGGACAACGTCACGGTGCTGCTGGTGCGGATCGGGCCCTGAGGGCGCGGCCCGCACGCGGCTCGCGTGTGTCGTGCTCCCGTGGGACTCCCACGGTTGTAAATAAAGGCTGCTTTCGTTTTCCTCCCTTTCTCCCCTCGTGGTCTCATCCCTCTCACGCGTCCGGCGCCGTGGGCCTGTCGGAAGGCAGCTCCGTCTCCTCCTGAGCCCGCGCTGGCCTTGCCGGGCTGGCAGGCCGTCCGGGCAGCCTGGGCTGCACCTGCTCACTGCTACAGCGGCTCACTGGTGAACAGGCTGTGCGTGTTCATAGCCCTGGGTGACCCTGGCTGGGGAAGTGACCCATGGGCTGTGGTACAGAGATCAGGGGACGGAGTCATTAGGGACAAAGCGGGGCCACAGGGGGCGCTGGGGGCGTCCTGGCTCCTTTGTGGTTTCTTCAGGCAGTGCCTGGCACGCTGCACAGCAGGGCCCCCGCTTGCCTGGGGGGCAGCTGGGCCCTCCCTGAGCGCAAGCCGGGGTGCCTTCTCAGAGCCTCACACAGGCTCCGTGCCGTCGGAGCCCAGGAGGCGGGCTCGGGGGACAGGCTCAGGCTGTCAGGTCTGGGTGATGCAGCCCCCTCCCCTGTTCCGGCATCTGGGGGGCTGACCAGGTGGCCCCCGCGGGGCAGCTGCCGGCTTCCTGCTGGTTTTCCGGGTCACACCTCAGGGGACCCTTCTGGGGACAGTGCCAGAGGACAGGATGCACTGCGGGCCTGTCAGGGGCACTGGCATCTCTGCCGCTGTCACCGTGTCTCCTCGGGATGACGGGTCCTGAGCTCGCCCTCACGTACCCGTTCTGCAGTGTGGTCTCACAGCCGCTCCTCTCGGCGGCACTGGGTGCCCGAGCTGCCAGCCCGAGTGGTGAACACGCACGCTCTGGCTCTGTCGTGGGCAGCTGCCAGGAGCGCTGGGCTGTGTTCAGTACCACCCGTGCCCCCAAGTGCCACTCCCTGGTCCCAGGCAAGGGCCTCCTGTCCCCTCCACATCCTGCCCACGCAGTCTGGGCTGTGGAGTTGGGACCTGCTCCCTCAGGGTGTGCCCTGGGCGAGTGCCATTTTACAAAGTCACACAGCACAGTTCCACTCTGAAATCAGCTACATAAATATATTTCATCTGCAATATTACATAATAAATAGCTCTGAACTGCATATCCGTTCACATTGAGGAAGAGGCAGGAAGTGCATGTGGCTCCTCCAGAGGGCAAGATAACTTCTCCAAGTGTCTGCCCGCCGTGGACGAGGCGAGACAGGAAGGGGTGGCCGCCCAGGCCCTATCTCCGCGTGCGGGGAGCCAGGCCTTGGGCTCGCCGTCTGCTTCCAGGCAGGGTGGGTACCAGTTCTGAGAACTGGCCAGGCCTGCCAACGGTCAGCTGATGGAGGCCGTGGCGACCCTGGGGCTTGGGGCATGGTCCGGAGCAGGCTGGCATGTCCTGGCAGGGCAGGGTGGCGCTTCCTCAGAAGGCACAGGGTCTTGTGGGTAGCTGCTCAGGGCCTTGTGCTCACTGCTGGCTGCTCTGGGCCAGGCCTGCACTTTGGGGGGGGGGGGCGGGAACGTGGAAGCGGACTGATGAGAAATGTGGCCTTGTGTGGGCAGGCCTGGCCAGAAGCTGGACTCGAGGGGCTCCGATGGCCGTGCTGAGGGCAGAGAAGTGTGGGGGAGCTAGGTCCAGACTCGGGTGCTGCATGTCCAGGGCCCCTGTGACTCCTGCAGCTGCCGGGTTCACACGGAGGGTGTCAGGCTTGCCTGGGCGCACCTGCAGCTGGACAGACAGGGAGGGAGGCCAGGCCAGGGGCGCCGGCTGGTGTTCCCTGAGCTCGGAGAATAGAACTGAAGAACTGAGGCCCTCGGGACTGTCCCCAGGCGGGCCAGGGGCCACTTTGTCTTCTCAGAGATGGCATCCATTCTCCTGGGTCTCAGGGCTGCCGAATGGCACGGCTGTCCCGCGAGCCCTCCTGTAGTGGCCGGCGCCGACTGAGCTGCAGTGGCCAGCGAGGACAGTTGCGTATGGGTTTGCTCCTGCTGAGTGTGGCCTGTGGCACTTCCTAGACTTCCTGTGGGTCCCCACTCCCTTTGCTGGACAAGAGGCAGGGCCTGTGATGGCCGCTTACACCCCCAGGAGGATGGCACTGAACTGGGAGCCGCTGCGCACCGTGAGGGAGGAGCCACTGGCGTTGTCCAGGAACACGGAGGCGTACTGGCCTGTCTGCAGGGAAGGGTACTGTCAGCCAGGTCGCCTGCCCACGCTGTCCCACCGAGGAGGGCCAGGGCCCAGGCTACAGTGCCCTCTGGTTCCCATGCGTGGGAGTGAGCCTGCCCAGGACTTCTCTGGGTGGTCTGAGACTGTGGCCCAGCAGCCTGACCCCAGCCCTGGCAGATTCTGGCTGGCACTGCACTCATTGTCCCTGCCCCAGCGGCCCATCCCCCAGGGACAGCTGAGCTGTCTGGGCAGCATCCCCACAGGGCCACAGCAGCCTCACACTGCCTTCCAAGCAGCCTGGAGCCAGCCCTGGGGCAGACAGCCTCGCCCCCAGAGCTGTCGGGGGAGCTTGGGCCCCAGGTGGGCATGACTGACCAGGGTGCTTGGGCTTACCCTGGAACTGTGGCTGCGTGCAGCTCCCCTGGCTGTCTGCACTGGTGACAGCCATCTTTCCGTTAGCCCCCTGTGCCTTGTCTGAGTGCCCAACACAGGGGCTTGTCACAGGTGGGAGAGAATGTCCACTCCCTGCAATCGCAGTGGACAGCTGCCCTCCACTGCCTCACTGCCTGGGGTGGCCAGGAGCAGCATCCTCAGGAGTGAAATGTGGGCAGTGGCAGGACTGGGCGTCCTTGGCAGAGTGGGAACTGCAGCCCAGCTCCACGGGAGTCAGGCTGTGTCCTACAGCCAGAAGGGCCCCCACGGCCGTGCCCTGCAGCCAGAGGGGACTGGGGCCCCCACGCAGTGGCCCGGAGCACCTGTCCCCACAGCAGTGCCCTGCAGCCAGAGGGGGACCCCCATGCAGTAGCCCGCAGGTCTGCCCCCACAGCCACCCGTGCCCTGCAGCCAGAGGGGCCCCACGCAGTGGCCCGGAGCGCCTGTCCCCTGGCTGTGCCCAGGCCTGCACCACGTACCTTTAGATAGAGGATGCCATTGACCGAGATGGTGAAGAGCTCACCGCTGCTGTCTAAACCCACGACAGCTTCCAGTGCTCTGCCAAGACAGAAAGGGGTCAGCTCACCCCACTCCCAGCCCCCCAACACTATGCCAGGCAGAGGGCTGGGGCTTGGGATGCAGGGGGTGGCTGAGCGGGCCCGGGTGGGCGTCTCTAGCGATGGGCTGGGGTGCAGGCGGGCGGGGGGCACTCACGTGTTGCTCTGACACCGGGACTGAATGCAGATGAGCAGGCGCAGGCGGTCCCGGGGCCGTGGCGACCCCCGCCTCGGAGGCAGCGCTGCGGGGCAGGCGGGATGGCGTCACGCGGGGCTGAGGGGCGAGCGAGGAGGCGGCCCCGCACCCCCCAACGCTCCGGGTCTTACCCACGTGCAGCGTGGCGGCGAGCCCGTAGAAGCCAGCCAGGGGCGCCGTGTACTGGCCGCTGGTCAAGTTGAGGCCGGAACCGCGGTGGAAGGAGCCCTCGACTTCGGGCTGTGAGGTGCAGGACCGTGACCCCCAGCCGGGCCCCGCGTCCCCCGCGCCCCCCAGCCGGCCCCGCGCCCCGGCCCTGCGTCCACACCCCGCCTCACCAGGGAGTAGACACCCAGCTCGTGCAGCGCGCGCCGCTCCACCGAAGCGTCCCGGCGCAGGCGGCAGTGGAAGGCGGCTTCCACGCGCGGACGGGCGGCCAGCAGCGCCAGTATGTCCCCTGCCGCCACCTCCTTCTCCTCCCCAGCGGTGCTCGAGCTGGGGCTGCGCGTGGAAGGCTCGGAGACGCCTGGCACAGAGCGAACGGTGGCTGCGTGGGGACACCCTGCCCGCCTGGAGCAGGTTCTAGACTCTACAGGCGACACCCCCTCTGCCTGCGGGACCTGGGAGGCTGCAGCTGCTCCTTCCCCTCACACGTTGGCTACCAGGAAGCTCAGTGCCCCAAGTGCATCCAACACCCAATGCTCTAGTCCCCAGCCTCATCCCTCCATGGTATCCGCGGACTGAGAGACCAGTCGGAAGGGCAGCTAAGCTGGGCATGGCGGCGCTTCTTCCCCCAGGGGAAGGGGAGGAGGGAGCCATGTTGGACAGAGGCAGGGAGCTCGGCGGGGCTCCACTGGACACGATCTGAACTGGCCGCTGAGCCGGGGCAGGGCAGGGCAGGGCAGGGCACTGGCCTGCAGTCCTCGCTCAGGCTGCCCCAGCCTGGCTGGGGGATGCTGGGGGCTGCAGCCTGACCGCCCATGGGACTCACCTGACTCCAGGCCACGTGGGTGCTGGTCCGAGCACACAGGGCTGCCAAGCCTGCCCTCTTTCCCTCCCCCAAGCCTTCTCTCCAGGCTCCGACCGCCCTGGGGCCTGGCCCCCCACTCAGGGGTCATGACCCACCTCTCAGCAGTAGCCGTAACTCCTTCAGCAGGACGTCTGCAGAGGTGATGGGGCCTGGGGGGCCACGGGGGCCAGGAGGCCCAGGAGGCCCAGGAGGCCCAGGAGGCCCTGGCACGCCGGGCTGGAGCGAAAGTATAGCAGTGAGGGCCTCTCCGAGGTAGGCTGGTGGCCAGGGCGTGCCCTCCACAGTGATGAGGACAAGGCACTGCACCTGCCCAGGGGCGCAGCGGCAGCTGGGGTGGGTGGCATGGGGTGGGGCCTGGGACAGAGCGGGACTCCGAGGGGGAGGAGCCTGCAGCCCACCCTTGTCCTGGGCTTGCTGGAGGGAGGGACACTCTGGGTTGATTCTAGGGAGGTGCCCTGAGCCCCAGTCACTAAGTCCCCGCGCTGCACTTGGCTGGGTTGTAGAAGCTGCGAGAATCAGGGAGAGGCTTGAGGCAGGGCCAGTGCTGAGATGTGGGCAAGGTCACTGGGACAGCCTGGCCAGCTCAGCTGCTCTCAGGTATACACAGAGGCCAGACACCCAGGATGGGCTGCACAGCCTGGCGCCATGGCTCTTTGCCTCGGGGACGCGGGCAAGAGTTAGCACCAAGTGTCTGCTCCTTGCCCAGGACAGGTCCCAGACTGACAGTGGAAACCAGCCCACCTGGGCACCAATGGCCAGGCAAGGCCCCTTCTCAAGGCAGCCAGGGCCTTCTGGGCTGCAGGGCACACAGTGTGGGGACAGGGGGCTGTGTGACCTCCAGGGCTACAGGACAGGCAGGTGCACCCAGGCTCCCTGCCCCAGCCCTCTGTGGTCTCCAGGTGTGGCCAGGGGCTCCCACATGCCCACAGCTGCTGGCAGGGCCTCAGCTCACCTCCAGGTTCTTGGCCCTGTCCCTGCTCCTCTTCCTGTCATTAACGGTCTTCTCGTTCTGCTTCAGCAACAGCACCCAGGCAGCCCAGGGATCGATGCTGTGAGCCTGGAACACAGGCAGCCTGTCCCAGCATCTGCCAAGTGCGCAAACCCTGCCTCGGCACTCGGTGTGGACCCTGGGTGGACAGGGTGCCCCTGTCGCCACATCTCCCCTGGTGAAGCTGGAGTGGCACCAGAGGGACCCCACCCTGCACCCAGCAGTCTTCAGGAACAGGGGACATGACCCCAGCCGCCAGGATGGTGACCTTACTTGGTCCCTAGGCACCTGTGCCGTACCTGGGGTGGGGGGCAGAGGGAGCATGCAGAGACGCCCTCTGGTTCACTGAACAGTGTGTGCCTCAGGAAGCCTGGGCTGCAGGCGGGGCTGCCAGCTGGGCAGGAAAGCAGCCCAGGAAGGCCTAAATGAGGACCCTGGCACCCCATGTAGGCCCACGGCCAGCCTGACTGCCACAAGGACACAGCCAGGCCCAAGAGGACCTCCCCTGCCAGGAGGCTCTGTCTTCATCCTGTGTTGTGCAGGGCAGCAAGGGCACTGGGGACTCCGTGTGACTGCCTCGCAGTGCCCCTCAGGGCCCGAGGAGTGTCCTGGCCTCGACTTCAACCGCAGTGGCTGCTGTGGCAGACCCCAGGGAGGGGTTGAGGGGGTGTGGATGGGCACCAGGCGGCTGCCGTGGCCAACCACATCTTCCAAGAGGAGAGTTGAGGGCAGCTGTCACGGTGCACTGGGCTAAGCAGCCTTCCAAGTGCCAGCTGCTCCACTTCTGGGTCAGCTCCCTGCGTGTGCAGGCTGGGTGGCAGCGGGGCATGGCCCACGTGCTGGCGTTCCTGCCACTCGGGTGGGAGTCCTGGGAGCTTTATCCCGGCCCTGGCTACTGCAGTTACTGGAGGAGCGAACGAGAGGATGGAAGCTTTCTCTTCTCACCTCTCCCTGTTACTCTGCTTATCCAATAAGTAACTATTTGGGGCTGGCACTGAGGCCTAGTAGGCTAAACGGCCACCTCTGGAAGTGCCAGCATCCCATAGGAGTGCCAGTCCGAGTCCGAGTCCGGGCTGCTCCACTTCCCATCCAGCTCCCTGCTTGTGGCCTGAGGTCTCCCAGCACTTGGGCCATCAGTCCTGCCTCCCCAGGAGCATTGTGGGGGTGCCACATCTGCCCCACGGCCTGACCCACGCAGGACCCTCGAGGGATGCAGGGGTCCCTCCCTGCCCTCCACTCCAGCCCACAGCCTGGAGAGCAAGGGCCCAGAATAGTCACCTCAGCTCTGGCTGGCCACCAAAGGAGAAACCCGTTGCCCTAAGCCGGCAGGAGGGCCGCGGCACCGGGTCTGGCTCGCTCTCCCATGCAAGGGCGCCTCCCGACTCCGCGGCATCCGCCCCATCAGGGGAAGATCTGGCTCCCAGCCTGGGTGCAGGCTGCCCGGGCAGCGGCATCTGTGCGCAGCTGCGTCTGTCACGGGTGGAACCGCGTGGCCCGGCCCCGAGGGCCGCCAGCGCACTCTGGCCGCGGTGGGCTCCTGGGGCTCGGGGAGCTGGACGCGGGGCGCAGGGCGGGCGCTTACCAGGACGCGGGAGGGCGGCTCGGTCCCCGGCGGCGGCTCCTCCAGGGCGCGGCTCTCTGCAGGTGCGCCAGGCTCCTGGGACGGGGACGCGGAGCCCGCTGTGGCGACGGCGGCCAGCAGCCCCACGTAGACCAACAGCAGGCGGGTCCCGGGCGAGCGACGGGCTGGGGCCATGTGGGCTGCGGCTCGGGGCGCGGCGTGCCGAAACTGCCCGCTTGGGCGCCTTATAACGCGCTTGAATCGCCCGCCGCGCCCGGCGGCCGCGCGTCACCGGCCGCGCCCTCGGGCCGAGCGCCCCGCCCCCGGTGTCCCCTCCCGGTGGGGGCGGCTGGCAGGCAGGTGGGCTGGACCTGGCAGCCCGCAGCCCCTCTGGGCCAGCGCAGGAAACCCGGCCAGGACAGAGCTGCGGGTCAGGCCCCGAGGCCCCTCACCCCAAGCGCTGTGTGGCACCCTAGCAGGAAGCTGGCAGCTGGCGTGGAGCTGGAACCTGAAGCTGGCTGGAAGACTGTTGCCAGCACCGAGGCCTGAGCCCTGAGTTGAGTTTAAAACTGCCAACGGAGTGGACCCGTTTTGATTACGACAGAGATGGGGCTCCCCTCTGGCCGACGGTGCTCTTGGGTCACCAGGCCCTGCCCCTCGCCAGTGCTTAAGCTGTGTCCAACAGCCTTATTCCCAGAGTTCCTGAGACGCCAGGACTCCGAGCAGCTCGACACCCCCAGGGTGAGGGGCGCAGCACCCAGGCTGGCCAGGCGCTGCCTGCCGTGGCACGTGGCTGAAGGTGAGGCACAAGCCTGGGAGGAGCAGGTGCCAGGGTCAGGAAGCACGAAGGGGCAGAGCCACCTGGGAAGGTGAGGCTCCGTGTTCACGCCCTTGGCAGCAGCGGGGGGGCTTGAGGACTGCGACCCCACGTGGTTCCCGAAGCCAGCTCCCAGGATGGGGACCGTTGCCATGGGAAAAGCTGTTGTTTTTCCAAACAGTGATGTCACAGCCTGCCTCCAAGGGTCCAGATCAAATCGGTTCTGGTGCTGGTGCAGCTTCCTGTAACAGGACCCGCTGCTGATGTAACAGCCTGTCCCCATGCAGTGGGGGCCCCCAGGGGCTTCTGGAGTTTCCTTTGGGAGAAGAGCAGAGCTTAGCAGGAACCGCACTGCGGTGGAGGGTGCTCTGCAGTCCCCTCCTGGCTGTGGGAAGCCCGGGCGGGTCAGTGCCTGCAGCATGCCGGCATTCTCGGGCCCTTGTGTCACGACCTTGCTGGAGTTCCCAACCTCAGGGGAGGCCCTCTCGCTGTCCCCGGTAGCTGATGAGGTTATGGGAATAAAAAAGTTTCCTGAAACGGAAGGATACTGGAGCCAACTTGTTTGCCAGCTGCAGCCAGGCTGCTGCCCCGGGCATGGCGAGCCTGCGGTGCCATAGGAGCCTGAGCGTGGTCATGTATGCCCATCGAGCGGATGAGGAAGGCTGCTGGTGCTGTGGAGCTGCCCAGCCCGGCCCGGCTGCCTCAGCTGTGGGAGCGTTCCCGGCTGCGCTCTGGGTCGGCCCAGCTCGGAATGGCGCCTGAGCCCCGCGGCCCCGGCGGTCTGAGCCCCGCGGCCCCGGCGGTCTGAGCAGTATGCTGAGGCCGCCTCCCTCCTGCTGGTTGTCTCTGCCTTTGCAATGATTCATTCAAACAGGAGTCTGTCTCACCTCTCAGTTTGACACAGCGTGTGGCTCTGCGTTTTTGGTGAGAATAACATTCTTCTTTCCACTTATTTATTTGAAAATGAGCGTTCCAGCGCGCGGGGCAGAGAGCTCATCCACTCTGACATGGCTGCAACAGCCGGCCCCGGGCCAGTCCAAACCAGGGGCTTCCTCCGGCTCTCCCAGCTGGGCGCAGGGGCATCTGGGCTCTGCTTTCCCAGTACACCAGCAGGGAGCTGGACGGGAAGTGGAGCAGCCGGGCACAAAGTGATGCCTGTGGGAATGTTGGCACCACTGCTGGTGGGCTAACCTGCTGCACCACATGGCCACTCTGGAAACCGCCTTCTAAACTGTGTCTGTGGTCATATGTCCCCAGCCCGTGACCCGGGGCATCTCCAGTGTGCACTGCAGTGCTGGCCCGTCAGGACCCTGTCGTCAGCCCCGCCTGCCAGCCTGCTGGCCCCCATGGACAGGCGACAGTGGTGACGCTAAGGAGCAGGGTCCCACATGGCACGGGCCCTGGAGCCATTGTCACGGTGGCCCTGTCCCTGCCTTGTGGGCGGATTCCAGCCCAGGGGGCTTCAAGAAGCTCCCAGGGAGTAAAGTCAGGGCTGGGCCTCTCCCGCAGCGGGGCTAGGTGCCAGGCACTGGTCCCCGGCCCAGCTTCCCGCTAAGCGACTTCCTGGGAGGTGTGCACTGCTCCCAGCCCAGGGCACCGTGGCCATCTGCCGATGAACCAGCCGGTGGGTGTCCTCTGAGTCTCTCACTGCCTCTCACGTTGATTGTTTAAAAAAAAAGAGTTATTAATTTGAAATAGAAAAGTTAAAAAAAAAAACATAGGGTTACTCTCCATTGTCCCAGCTTTGTTCCTTTTTGTACTGTTCACCCTAGATTTGTATCTGGGAATCCACACAGAGCAGACTGTAGGCCAAAGTGACCGGCAGTGCTTGGACCTGGTGGCTGGGTCTGGGATGAGCAGCACCTGCGTGAGAGGTAGCATGGAATTTTCTTGGGAATGTTGCAAGAGAGGCTTTCCCTTCTCTGACATCCAGTTTGAAAGCCTGTGGGGAGATGATTCAGCCACTTTGCTACCACAGTGGAAATTCCTGAAACTTCTTAAGTCGTATTGTTGAGCCTCAGAATGAAAACAAAACAGTAGACCCCGGCATGGTGGCGCAGTGGTTAAGGTCCTCGCCTTGCACACCCGGGATCCATATAGACGCCGGTTCTAATCCTGGCGGCCCCGCTTCCCATCCAGCTCCCTGCCTGTGGCCCGGGAAAGCAGTTGAGCCTGCACCCGCGTGGGAGACCCGGAAGAGGCTCCTGGCTTCGAATCGGCATAGCATCGGCCTGTTGCGCTCACTTGGGGAGTGACTCATCGGACGGAAGATCTTCCTCTCTGTCTCTCCTCCTCTCTGTATATCCGCCTTTCCAATAAAAATTTAAAAAATAAAAATCTAAAAAAAACCAAACAAACAAAGCAGTAACAGGAAGATCTGATGGATGAAGAAAAATTAGGTCTTGACAACATTTGAGCCCAAAATTTATCTCTGTTGGCATCTTTGTGTTGGAATGTTTCTGAAACTAATAAATACATTTGACCTTTTAAAAAAAAGTTATTTATTTATTTTATTTGAAAGGCAAATTTGTAGACAAAAGGAGAGGCAGAAAGATCTTCCATCTGCTGGTTCATTGGAACTGAGTCAATCTGAAGCCAGGAGCCAGGAGCCTTTTCTGGGTCTCTCACGTAGGGGCAGGGTCCCCAGCACTCGAGCCGTCTGCTGCTTTCCCAGGCCCCAAGCGGGGCTGGATCGGGAGAGGACGTGAGCTGGCGTCCATACGGCATCCTGATGCTTGCAAGTGTAGGGTCAGCCTGTTGAGCCATAGCACAGGCCCCTCTCAAGTTAACTTTTAAAAAATGTCTTAAAATTAAGTTTGTTAAGCTACACTCGGGGCTGGTGTTGGAGTGTGATGGGCTTAGCTGATGCCTGCGGTGCTGGTGTGGGTCCCGGCCCAGCTCCCTGCCAGTGCGCCTGGGAGAGCAGAGGACCCAGTCTCGGGTCCCTGTGCCTGTGGAGACCCAGCTTAAGTCCAGTCATTTGGACGCTTTGGAAGGGAGTCGATGTATGACTTCTCGGTCACTTTTTAAAACAGATACAAATAATTCTTAAAAATAATCATGGATTTTAAAATACTCTGTACCAGAGTAAACCTAGCTGTAAGTCTCATGGGCCTTTCCTGGTGCTGTTGTACTTTCAGCTGGGTCAGCTGGTCGACCTCCAGCGGGGTCAGTCTACGTAGATGGTAGGGAACAGCCTGCCCAGCTGCCCATGGTGACAGCCACACGAGGGCCTGGCCCCACCAGGCCTGTATGGGGAGGGTGCTCAGCCACGAGGAGTCCTGCTGAGAGAAGCGGCTGGCAGCATCGCTGCACGGGGGACCTACTCCTGGGGCTCTGGTGCTTGGTGAATGTGGGGTGTGCCCAGGGTGCCCTGGCCCCCCTCATGGGAGTGACGCTGTGCACCCATGTGGCCTGCTGAGCCCCCAGTCCCATCTGTGACTTGACAGCTAGGGCTCCTGCTGTGTCCCGAGGCTGCCCACCCCACTTGCTGGAACCCTGTGTCAGTACCAAGCCCAGTGGCCAAGGCTGGGCTGGCCTAGAGCCAGGAGCTTCTTCCAGGTCTCCCATGTGGGCACAGGGACCCAAGCACTTGGGCCAGCCTCTGCTGCTTTCCCAGGCCACAGACAGGGAACTGGGTGGGAAGTGAAGCTGCTGGGAATTCAAATGGTTGCCCACATGAGATGCTGGCACCACAGGCAGAGACTTAACATGATATGCCACTATGCCTGGAGGCAGAGACAGAGGAAGCCCTGGGCTGTCTGTGGCTGGTGTAACCCTGGGCATGGGTGCCTACCAGCCCCGGGACACGAAGGTGTGAGCTGGAGCCCTTCGGGGAGCCCTGCGGGGGGCTGGGCATCTAGGTGTGGCCCCTGCCTTGGGGACTGGCCCTGCACCCACCCACCCCAGGGCATAGATGGGCCCTCCCCACGCTTGGCGGAGCTCTCCCCTGCCGCTAGAAGCCCTGACTCCTTCCTGGGAGCTCCATGACCCCTCAGGTCTCCCCAGGAAACGGCGTGTGAAGAGTGGGCAGGGTGAGGCTGGCGGGAGGGCGCCAGGGCTCCAGGGCCGCCGGGCCTTTGCTGACTGGCCACCCGATGCTGGAGCAGAAGCAGCGGGAGCGGCTTGCAGTATTCCCTCTGAAAAAATGTTTATTTGAGAGGAAGATGAGAGCGTGGACATGCTGGGGGCTCCATCCGGGTCTCTGGCAACAGGGCAGCAGGGCGGCCGCAGCCATGCTGGTCACGCTGCACAGCACCCTGGACGCTGTCTTCTCTCAGGAGGCTGCTGGGGGTGCCTGTCGCTGGGGGAGACTCGTCTGTGTCCTGATCCAGGCCTGCTGGTGTCCCCTGCTGCCCAGAGCCCAGTGGTGCCCTGGAGGGGCATTGGCTGCAGGAGGCCCAGGACGGCAGGGGCCACCCGGGACACCCTGCTAGTGCTCCTGGGCGGGCCTGAAGGGCTGCGTCCACTTGGCGACATCCAGGAAGACGGCCGAGGCCCCGTGGTAGAGCCAGAGGCGGGGCAGGGCGCCGTGGCGGGTCCAGGAGTCACGCACGGTGTCGTAGGCTTCCATCTCCACGTGGTACTCTCCGTCCATGCCCTGCCAGCGGCCGCCGGTCACGTACAGCGCGTCGCCCAGCGGCACCAGTGCGCCGTTCTCGTGCAGGCTGTGCTGAGACTGCACCTGGACGTGGTCAGTGGTCAGCGACCCCAGCAGGCAGGGGCAGGGGGACAGCCTGACCCCACGTCCTGGCCAGGGTACCCCCAGGAGCCTTCCCGAGAGTCTCCCTTCAGTGCCCAGACCCAGGATGCACCTATAGTTCCTGGAGTCAGCGGACGCAAGGCAATATCCACTGAGCCTGGGCTAACCCTCAGCCTCAGCAGGGATGGAGGGTAGGACCCCCAAGGACACTTGGGGGGACCCTCGCTGTACCCATGCCCCCTGGAGAGTCCGGGCAGGGGTGAGAGCATGTGGGGCCTGCCGGGGTGTCCAACCAGGGACAGCAAAGGCAGCTGCCCCCCAGGCCCGGAGGGGGCTCCCGGGGAGTCCCACGCCACAGCTGGCAGAGCCCAGCCTGCACCTGCTCCCCGATGTAATGGGGCCTTTGGGTCAGCCAAGTGCTGACGTCAGGGGACAGCTGCCTTCAGCAGTGCTCGGCGGGGGACCCTAGGGCGCCTCCCCCTTCCCTGGGGCGGAGACAGGCGGGGTGACCATGCGCCAGGCTGGCCTCTCTGCCCTTCGCCAGCCTGATGGCCAGAATGGGGGGTCAGTGGGAGTGGGCTGCGGGGTGCCCTCTCTCTGCCTCCTGGCCAGTTGAGGCACCCACTGGGGCACCTGAGCCCAGCTGTGCCACACCCTCCCCCGAGGACAGGCCAGGAAGCTGGCCTCGGGGGGGGGGCAGGCGGAGGGGCCTCACCTTCTGCCACAGGTTAGCCCCCGGGTCGTACGCGTACACCTTCTTGGTGTTGTCCCCGATGAGGTACAGCGCCCCGTGCAGGGCGGCGCAGCGAGGTGACGACAAGTACTTGGGCAGAAAGGGGGAGGCGATCACACTCCAGGCGTCTGCAGGGTCGCCGGGCACAGGGTCACCTTCAGCACCAGGCCAGGGGTATCCCCTCCCGTCCCTATCCTGCGACCCCCATCTGAGACCTCCCCCACCCGCCTGGGACCTCCCGCCCACCTGTGACTGGGTTGTAGCACTGCAGGGCCAGCGCGTTGTACTTGCAGGCGCTGGAGCCCACCAGGTACAGACGGCCACGGCAGCCGGCGGCGGAGAAGTTGCTGACATACTTGAGGGCTGGGCTGACTGGCGTCCAGCTGTCCGTGAAGGGGTCATAGCTCTCCACCTCCACCACGTCCAGCGTGGTGCCTGTGGGGAGTCCAGGGCCTCAGCATGGTGGGGGCTGAGCTGGGGGAGGGGTTGCTCTGGAAACACAGGGTCCAGAACCTCACGGGCAGCGAGAGGACAGGGTGCTCCCGAGGTGGTGCCTGCTCCAGAAGGGTGTAGGGGCTGGGCACCTTGGGAGGGACACCGGCTCCAGGGCGGAGTCAGGGTCTGGAGGTGCCAGGGACAGGCACCCGTCCCCGGGGCTAGGGTCACGACGGAGCCACGTCCTGTGACGGCGTGCCCTGAGTCAGGTGCAGCCTCTGAGGGGGCACAGCCGTCCTTGCCAGCCTGCTTGGGGTGGGGTGCAGTGGTGGGGAGCGGGCCTCACCTCCAATGGCGTAGATCTCCCCGTTGAGCGCGGCGCTGGCATGGTTGGTGCGCGCCTTCTGCATGGGCGCCACGGCCTTCCAGGCCGCCTCCTTCAGTGGGAAGCACCAGGCCTGGGTGGTCGACCAGGTGTCCGTCTTGGTGCCCCGTGAGCCACCTGTGGGAGCGGGTCTGTCCATGGGGCTGTGCCCAGCGCATGCAGACTCCACGCCCTCCCTCCTGGCCAGGCCACTGGGTGGGAAGTGGGGACGGGGATGGTCCCTAGGGGGAGAGATGCCAGACCCCTCATCCACAAACAGGGCCATGGCAGTGCGGGTGTGAGCCAGCCCTCTTCCAGGCCCTGACAGCTCCCAGGGCTTTCTTAAAAATATATTTATTTATATTGGACAATCAGATATACAGAGAGGAAGATCTTTTGTCTGCTGATTCAGTTCCCAAGTGGCCACAACGGCCGGAGCTGAGCTGATCTGAAGCCAGGAACCCGAAATCTCTTCCAGGTCTCCTACGTGGGTGCAGGGTTCCAGGGCTTTGGCCCGTCCTTGGCTGCTTTCCCAGGCCACAGACAGGGAGCTAGATGGGAAATGGAGCAGCTGGGACTCGAACCAGCGCACATATGGGATCGTGGGGGCGTTCACAGTGAAGGCTTTAGTCTCTAGGCTACCGTGCCGGGCCCAGCTCCCTGGGTTTAAATGCCCTCCCGTGCATGGACTCTGTGGAGCCGGGGTGCTCGGCCTCCCCACCACCCCCACGCCTGCCGTGCGCACCTGTGACATAGATGTGGTTGTGCAGAGCTGCCAGCGAGAAGCCCCACTTGTGGTAGTCAGGGAAGTCGGGCAGCGCCATCCAGCGGCCTGACATGAGAGAGCGGGGCTCAGGGCTCTGCACAGGCTGGGCCTGAACAACCCCAGCGGGGATCTCACAGGGACCCCAAGAGCGTGGATGCCATCCTCGCTGCTCAGGGATGACGTGTGTCCCACACAGGCACGGCTCAGTGGCTTGGGGCTGTGCCATCACAGGGACCAGCCAGGCTCACCTTCGTGTGGGGTAAACTGAGGCAAGAGAGGAAGTGCTGAAGCCGATGAGGCCTGGGTGTGGGAACCAAGCATGGCAGCACTGGCGGGCTGTGACCGAGGGGCCTGGGCTGGCACCAGGTGTCCCCGTGACTCATGTGTGTGTCACCCCAGATCAGAGGTACAGCTGTCACTGCTGACGTCAGCCCCTGCTCCGGGATGCAGGCCAGACAGCACAGCGCCCCAACCCTGGGAGCGACCCCGGGGCTCCCTCCTCTCACCGGGGCTGCCCTGGTCCCCACACCCCCTCGGCTCCCAGCTGTGCTGGTGGCACCAGGAGCCGCTTCCACCGAGAGCAAGGGAGTGACCCTCCGAGACACAGGCTCAGCACACACTGAGTTGCCTGCACCTCACTCCCCAAGCAGTGCCACCTGCCACAGAACACAAAGCAGGCCAAGGGCTCTCTCGTCTTGTGCACCTGCCAGCTGGGCCCCAAGGAGGGACAGCGGGAGGAAGGCAGCAGGGTGTGCTGGGGCTGGGGAGGGCTACTCACGGGCTTTGGTGTCGTAAAAGGCGAAGTTCCCAGAGCGGGGAGCGGGCTCCTCCCCGCCCTCCTCGTCCTCCTCCAAAGCCCGTCCACCGACCACCACCAGCACCTCCTCTAGTCTCTGTGGAAGGACGGCCAGTGCCTGGGGACAGGAGGACAGGTCAGTGTGGCCAGAGACTGTCCCCCCAGCAGAGGGTCTGTGTGTGTCCTCGTGCGTCGGGCCCCCAGATGGGGTGGGTGTGCACCTGTGCATGCCAGCCTTGCCACACAGCAGGAGGCCATGCAGGGAGAAGCCCCCAGCCAGCTCCAGCCCTCACCTGGCTGGGCCTGGGCTTCTGTCCGCCATGGAGGCCACTCCCAGCCTGAGCTAGGGAGCCCCGAGAGGCTGCCTGCAGACGGGCCCGCAGTCCCTGGCACAGCCTCAGCCTGCCGAGTCTCGGATGGCTTCCTCTTCCTTCTTCCTGGATTCTCTTCTCTCCTCCATCCCTCCCCAGGGGGCCCAACACAGAGACCACCCCCTCCAGGCTGCTCCCACAGAGACCGCCCTGCCCAGGGGGCCCAACACAGAGGCTGCCCCCTCCAGGCTGCTCCCACAGAGACCGCCCCCTCCAGGCTGCTCACACAGAGACCGCCTCCTCCAGGCTGCTCACACAGAGACCGCCCCCTCCAGGCTGCTCCCACAGAGGCCGCCCCCTCCAGGCTGCTCACACAGAGGCCGCCCTGCCCAGGGGGCCCAGCACAGAGACCGCTCCGTCCAGGCTGGCCAGCACAGAGGCCACCCCATTCAGAGGTCCCACACAGAGGCTGCCCCGTCCAGGCTGGCCATTTTGCACAGCCTTGGTTGGCTTGCAGACTGCAGGGGTGACTGGCATACCTCACAGGTGATGGGCTGCTGTGGTAGGGGGTGCTGTGAGGTCAGGGGTCACCTCCAGGATGCCATGTGTTACCCCTGACTCCTATGCAGGCAGGGCTCTGGGCTTCTCTGCCTGCCTCACACGGCCGGGGCCCCTGACTCACCTCCCCATGGGCTCGGGTCAGCACGGCGCGGCATGCCTCCGACCCCTGGATCAGTGGCTCTGTGGCCAGCAGGTGCTGCACGCAGGACCTGGGCACAGTGTCCAGGTCCACGAGGCTGAGCAGCTCGGGCAGGTGAGTGGCACGGGCCTGAGGGTCGTGGCGCACCCAGCGCAGCAGGGCCTCAAGGCGGCTCTGCTCAGGCTGTGCTTGCAGCAGATCGCTGGCCAGGCAGGTGGTCAGCCGGTCACGGGACAGCTGCAGGAACTCGTCCTCACGGGCCACAGCCTCAAAGTTCTCTCGCAGGAAGGCCCAGGCCTTGGCGGCCACGCCCAGCAGCCCCTGCTGCTCCCCGAACTCACAGATGCCCAGGCAGTTGGTGGCATCCAGCTGTTGCTGCAGGTAGCGGCCACACGCCTGCTGCACAGCCGGGAAGTGGAGGCGTGCGGCCGTGCGGGTCAGCACCTCCACGTTGGCCTGCGTGATGGTCAGCCGGCCTGTGTACACAAAGTCCACCAGCTGCCCCACCACAGCCGGCTCCACGTCCCGCAGCTCCACGCGGGCTGAGAAGCTCTCTGCAAAGTCGCCTGCGAACATGGCATGGAAGTAGGGACTGCTGAGGGCCAGCAGGCCGCGGTGGCAGGGCAGCTCCCGGCCGCCCACCAGCAGCGTGACATCTGCCAGCTTGGGCTGCGAGCGCAGCCGCTGGAGGCCGGCCAGCATATCCTGTGCATGTGAGGGCAGCTGGAAGTCCAGGTCGTCCACGTGGCGCACCATGGGGCTGCTGCCAGGGGCGCCCGGCTCCTTGGAGAAAAGAGGGCAGCGTCGGCCTGCGGCCCGTCCACCTCCCACCCCCCCCAGGGCCCTCTGTGAGGTCCGGCTGCCCCGTCCCCTGAGAAGGTATGAGACCTGCTCCCAGCCGGCCGGAGGTCTGGGCAGGGCCCCACAGCCGAGGCCCTGGGCAGGGGACCCGGGGCTCCCCACACAGAGAGGCCTCTTTTGTCTCATATGCCACTTGCTCTGGCTTTTCTAATTGACTAAATGCCATTTCCCTAACCCTACTGTGACCTTGCTGGGTGACCCTGGGGAGCCACCCACCCCTATCCCAAGGTTCCCCATTTCCTCATCTGCTGATGGCTGGGGTATTGGGGGCTAAGTGTTGGTCACACAGGTGTCATTGTCATTCCTGTTACAGGGAAGCTGGACACTGAACCCAGAGCCAGGCTTGGAGGGGGCAGCTGTGCACGCCTGTTAGGGATGCAGCTTAAGGCAACTTCCAGAGGGAGAGGCCACCTCACCTCCCTTCATGTTGGGCACCCATGGGCCTGTCTGGCTATGCGTGTGCGTGCGTGCCCCACTCTGTGCTGCCCTGGAAATCACCCCAGATCCTGACAGCAGATAAAGCTGCCTGCGGAGAGGTGGCCTGCTCACCAGGGGGCGCCGTGGAGCCCACAGAGGGTAGGGAGAGAGTGGCAGCAAAATGGCCTCAGTCCATGTCAGAGCCGGGGGACCCTGCGGCAGGGCAGGGGTGGCGCTCGAAGCCCTTCCACTTCCCCACCCATCCCACACGGGCACCCGAGGCACCCATTCGAGGCGCCCACTCGAGCTTGGGCAGTGCCACAGCCAGAGTGTCCACCACGTCTGGCGGGAGAGCTCGGCTTGCACCTGTCAGGCCAGGCCAGTGGCTGTCCCCAGCCACCACCCGCCTGCCTCACATTCCTGGCATTCCTGCTTTTCTGGGAGGCAACAGTGGCAGGTCCAGCCAGACCTCCTACCCTAGGGCCCCTACATAGGAGAGGAGGGGGCTTCCGCGGGTCTCACGTGCCCACCCCACCCCCACCTGGGTCCTGCTTAGCTGGAAGTGAGGGGGAGCGAGGCCCAGACCCTGACCCTGCTCAGACCAGGACTGGCCAGTGCGGCCTTCGCTGCTGACTGAGGCCTGGGCTGGCTGAACCAGAGGGAACCCCAGAGCAAACATGCCTGCTGATCCCCCGTCCCTTCCAGAGCTGGGCTGGGCCTGGGTGCTCTCTCCGACAGGTTCAGGCCAGATCCCCAAGCCCCTCGGCGCAGCCCACCCTCTCTCGTGCCCTCGTCCTTGACCCCCCACCCCCTCTGGTGTCCTCGGACAGTACCTCTCCTGGGGCTTGGAGAGCTTGTTGCTGAGAGCAGACCCTTGGGTTGGCTGGCCAGCGAGAACTGCGAGCTGAGCGCAGGGCCTGTGGGCTGGGCAGCCACGTGGGGCACCAGGGGCTATTTTTAACCGCTGCGTGCTTTGGGGAGGCAAGGGGAGGAGAGAGGTGAGGCTCCACCCAGGCTGCCTGCCTTGAAGGCTCTCTGCCCACTGGCGTCCTAACCGGGGGTGGCCAGAGGCCTTCTGGTGTCCTCAGGTTGGACAGTTGGGTCTGTGCTGGGGTGCCTTGGCAGTGCAGGTGCCAGTGGCGTGGTTGGTATCGGGGTTCTTGGGTCGAGTGGGGAGTGGCTGCAGCACTGGATGACCATGGTCTCTGGAAGCTGGGGGTCGTGGTCATGGGGCACAGCTGGGCACATGGGGTGCCCAGGGCAGTGAGGAGGCTCCCTGGCTTCCACTTTCAGTCTGGAGAAGGGGGTGCCATCCCTAGCCATTTGGCCCCACTGCTGCCCAGAGTCCGCGTGGGACGGACGTGTCAGCCGGCGAGGAAATGGGGTCATCTATAAATACGGCCGCCAGCTCTGAATGCGGCTGGCGGGCGCCTCTGGGCACAGAGGCCTCTCCCACTGTGCCCACTGCTAGGTGAAGGAGGCTGGGAGTGTCCTGTCCTGCTGTGGCCTCCCAATGCCTCCGAGAGCTGCTTGTATTCCCGGTAGAGTTGGGTCGTTTTTCTGGTGTGTGGATCTGTCTCACAGGGCTGCTGTCCCTACTTGCCCTGCCAGCCTAGGGGCCCCCTCCCAGGTGGTGCTGTCCTCATGTGTGTGCCCCTGGCCAGTTGCTGCCTGCCTCCCAGCCTAGCACTGCCCCTTCCCCTGCTGCTAAGCTCAGGCCGTCCCCCAGCCCCAACCTCTGAGACACTCGTGCCCCCCTCCCAGGACCATTACGGGCAGGACGCTGCAACGGGGCCTGCAGGTGATTGGCTTCCTCAGTGTCCTTGGTGCTGGCAAGACACAAAGGGTTAATGCATGTGTGGGCCAAGGGGACATGCAGAAGGGGACCCTGGTGACAGGCTGGGCGCTGGCCCAGCGCTGTGCCAAGCATGCGCACCTGGCGCCAGCCCTCGGAGACAGGAGGCCCAGCGCTTTGGGTGACTGGCGGCTGGGAAACCCAATCCCCGGGCCTCAGATGGGCTCCTCGCCCACAGCGGCTCCCAAGCAGGGCGAGTTTTGAAAATACCTTGGCAAATCAAATGCAGAAATCACCAGAGAGCGGCAAGGGCCGTGACCCTGCCAGGGCCTCTGTGTCCTTCACTCTGCTCAGAATTAGAACTGCTCTGTGTGCTTGTGTGTGTGGGGGTTCCCGTGTGTGTGCACGCCCACGTGTGTGCGCAAGCAGGTCCCCCTTGGTCAAGTGACCGCGTGCTGTGGCCAGCGTGTGAAACCCGCTCCTGCGCTTCGCCCAGGGTGGGTGTGGCTCAGTGGACAAAGCCGACGCTCCGCCAGCCGCCTCAAAGACGGCCTTCTGTTGTGAGAGAGGTGGCGTCTTCTCGGCAGTCATTGTCCCAGACCTGTCCGGCTGTGACATCCCACTGTGTGGGCCTGGAGGACTCCTGGCTAGGGACATCAGTCCTAGGCCGGCCTGAGCTGGCAGGTACGAGGATGGCCTGGGGTGCAGTTGGGGACCGTGGTGAGCAGACTGGCGGCACGCCCTGGCCTCAGCCTGCCCTGGCCTCACCCCTCCCTGGCCGCAGCCCGCCCTGGCCTCAGCCTGTCCTGGCCGCAGGGTCTCCTCCTGCCCCTGAGAGGCTTGTGGGGTGCAGGGAGCCACAGGCTGTCTTTCTCTCCGTGGAAAGGTGGAGCAGTTTCAAAGGTTTATGGAAATACGCGAGTAGGAATCAGTTTACTTTGGTGCAAACAGTTGAAATCCAGGCACAGCTTTCGCTTGCACAGTACCCACCCTGGCCCACCCCTCCACTCTCACTGCCTCATCCCGACTCTCTGGAAGCTGCAGCTCCTCTGTGTGGACGGGGAGGGCTCAGCACCCGCAGCTCAGCGCACCCCAGGGGGAGGTCCTGCTGCCCGTCACGAGTCCTTCCACTGCAGGCGGGCCCGTCTTCAGCCTCCTGAGCAGGTGGCCGAGGGCCAAGTCACCCCCAGACCCAGAGTCTTGGTGTGACAATCTCAGTGTGACCCCCGCTGCCCACCCTGGCACCCAGTGGTTTGCACCGAGGGTTGCTCTGCAGGACAGTCACTGCAAGGCTGCGCTGGGCAGCGTCCTGTGTGCCTCCTAAACGTGTCTTCCAAGGGCTGCCCTGAGCGTGGGTCTGTGGCTGTGACCTCTCACCTGTGTCCCCCCCAGGCAGTGCGGTGGCGTCCACAGGCGGGCGTGTAGTCGAGTGGGGCAGCCCGGGTGAACTTCAGTCACTTCTTGGAGATGCTGTGTGCTCGGGCCCGTGGCACACTCGTGCTGGGCTGGGTAGGGCTCTTCATTAGGAGCTGGTGGCCCTTAGCCCATGTGTGTCCTGTCGGCCCTCGCTGGGGGCTGTAGCCTGCAGGGGGCACACAGTGCCCAGGGCACTGAGGGCACCCTGAGCTGGTAGGTCCCTTGAAGCAGGAACATACCCTTGTAGACTAGCCCTGTCTGCCCACAGCTGCCCCAGGATGCTTCCACAGGCCTAGCTTGAGCCCTACCTCACCCCTGCCTGGCAGCCCTCTTTTAGGGGCTGGCCCCTGAGCTGGGGAACAGAGGTCAGGGGGTGTGCAGGCCATGCCAGGGCTGGCATATGGGGTCCCTGCTCAGAAGTGACGGGGGACTGGACCCTGTGCCCACTGCCAACCCCGGCCGCTCACCTGCTATTCCTTGGGACCACAGTACCCAGCAGGAGGCCAGGAAGATCCCAGAGGATCCACCCGCTGATGCTCCACCCAGGGGTCTCCAGATGCCCTCCACCTGCCTGGCAGGGCTCAACCCAGTGGGTCCCTGTGGTCTACCTCCCCTGGTTGCTTGTTCCAGCCAAGCACCATGAGTGAGAGAGGCCGCCTGGGTGCTGTTGAGGGCACCTCCTCCCGGTGTGTGAGATCACCATGACTCCCAGTACAGTCGCACTGATCTGCTGTGGCCAGGTGACGAACCACGGGCTCCAGGGGCAGGGCCAGAGCCGAAGGAGGCAGAGCCCTCTGTGGGTGCCAAAATGGGGCCCTTGCTTAGCAGCTGCAGGCGCCATCTCCGCCCCACGGAATGTGCCCCAGTAGGGAGGGCTCTAAGGGAGCTGGCTCGGGGGGGGGGGGCAGTGTGAGGCCCCCGATTTCACATCTTCCTGGTTGGGGGCACAGTGGTCCTCTTCGCTGGGCCCAACAAGGACCAGGAACTGAGGCGTCTCGCTGCCCAGGGGAGACAGGGGACACAGCGGGGACTTGGAGGAGGGCCTGTCTGGTCCCCACACCTCTGGATCCTGGGGTCAGGAGAGGGTTTTGAGTCCTGCTCCCCAGCCAGTGGAGCCAGCTCTGTCACAGCTCCCACAACAGCATTCCCTTGATTCCCCTGTCCCACTGGGTCACCCCAGGAGCTGGGACAAGTCACACAGCACGGCCAGCGCCCAATTGGAGGCCAGAATTCCTGTCCCTGCGGCAGCCTTTGCTTGGCGCTCAGGCCCATGGGCCGTCCACAAGCTGGACCTAGTGGCCACAGCTCATCAAGGGGCTGCCTGTGTGCTACGCAGCTGGGCCAGGAAACTGACCTATCCTGGGACCCCGCCCACTCCCTTCCTCCCATGGATGCTGCTGTTAAGGGCTCTGGAAGGGTTACAGGACAGGGGCCCCGCAAGGAGGCTTCCCCCTGGAACAGAGTCCCCTCCCTATGGCCAAAGCTGCACAGGGGATGCTCTCCCAGCCTGAGGAAAATGGCAGCCCCTTCTTCTCTGGCCCATTGAATCCAGCCTCCAGCCATTACTGCAGTCCATGAATGGGGAAGAGAGGGGCCATGGCCTGGCAGAGGGAGCAGGGGAGGGAGGGCGGGCCGGATATGCCAGCCCCAGCTCAGTGGAAGGATGGGGGCTCAGGGCCTGTGGCACAGGACACCGGGTCACACAGGACACCAGAGGGAGGGAGAGGGGGAGGGAGGCTGGGAGGAAGCTGCATCAGGGGCCCGGGGATGACTGTGGAGGGCCCAGGCTGGCACAGGGGCCGCCAGCTTCAGCGTGGACTGAGAGAGCAGGCGCTCCTGGGTATGGGCTGTGAGGGGAGAAGTGGGCAGTGGCCAGGTTGGTGAGGGCCCTCAGGATGTGCCTGCCAGCTTCATGCTGGCTGCCAGGTGGCAAGAGGGAGCAGAAAAGAGAACCCCAAAGGCCCCGGGAGCCGGCTGCCCCCCCCATCACTCCCCAGAGCTGAACATCTCAGCCTCCTTCTCCTTCCAGAAGGCGAAGCTCCGGTCGATGTAGCCACAGATGTCCTCGCTGTTGAAGCTGCCCTGGGGTGTGTCAGATGCTGGCCACTGTGCCGGCTCGGGGCCCTGGCCGGGCACGGCCGAGGAGGGCCGCGGCCCCGGGGCCTTGAGGCCTGACTTGTGGCCGGGATCCGTGTTGTCCCAGCCCGGCCCCCGGCTGGAGCCAAAGAAGCGGGCTTTGATGTCCTCAAAGCCATCGGCCCAGGCCCTGCGGCCAGCAGCCACCTCATCCGTCACCGCCTTATGGAAGGCCCGCACCGCCTCCCAGCCGTGGGCGCCCAGGTGCTCGAAGACCTCGAAGCACAGCAGGTGGCGCGTCCTGCGCTCCGCGGCTGGCAGGTCGCACTCCAGCAGCTGGAAGTAGCCGAGCATGAAGAGGTCCAGCGAGAGGCTGCCGTAGGGCACGGGCGCCCCGTCCACGTGGGGCAGGAACTGCTCCGGGGACAGGAGCCCAAGGGGCCGTCGGCTCAGCCGCCGCAGCTGCCGGGCCGGCACACGCGCCAAGATGGCCTTCCAGGTGCCCAGCAAGTGTGCGATGATGCCCCGCTGCTGCCACAGGTGCCCCAGCCGGGGACCCTCGCCAGGGGGCGGGGGCTCTGGCAGGTTTCCGGCCACCTGTGGACCCCGCGGCCCGGCGCGGCGGGCTTCCAGGGTCCTGCAGGCCGCCGTCTTGAGGGCCGGCGTGTAGGCCGAGCTCTTCCAGTGGCTCAGGAAGAGCGTGACGATGCGTTCCTTGCGCAGACTGGCCGTGTTGGGGCCCGACCCAGCGCCTGCCTCCCACGGGGCCTCCTCGCAGCTGATGCCCGAGTCGCTGGCCTCCTCCGCATCCCCTGCCCGTGGCTCTGCTCGCATGGGCCCACCGTGAGGCTGCGGAGGGGCCGCCCAGCAGCCTCCCGGGCATTGCCTGGGCTGGGCCCCCCGCTCGCAGGCACCTGGGCTGCAGGTGTGCAGTGGGCCGAGCGGCACCAACTCAAAGTTGCCACGCAGCGTCTGCACTGACACGCCCCACTCCCGGATCTCACGCTGGGCCTCGCTGCGAGGGGCGCTGGCTGACCCCTCCCTGCTGGGGTGCGGTGGGGCCCCCGGGTCTGGCTTCTCCTCACCCTGCACTAGCCCATTCACACCCTTCAGCAGCAGGGACAGGCTGCGTACAAGGCGGCTGATGTGGCTGCACCAGACGGGAAGGGGCTGCCCACCCGGTGTGGCTTCGGCGGCCTCCGCAGGGCCCTGGGACACAGGGGCCGGGGTTGTGGCCTCCTCCCCCTCCAGGCCTGGCGCCCGGGGCAGGAAGTGGCTGTTGACGGTGATGCTGACCAGGGGCTCCGGCAGCAGGGCCTGCAGCTCGGCCGCCAGCCGGCCCAGCTCGCTCTCGTATTCCTGACAGCGGCGCCGCAGCTGCAGGTCGGCGATCTGCTTCTCCAGGTAGACCAGGTCGTCCTCTGTTAACAGCTCCCCGAAGGGGCCCAGGATGGCCTGGTGCGTCTGCGAGTACCGCCAGGTGGCCCGCGCTGTGGGGCCTGGGCTCCCGTCCATGCTGCCATTGTCCTGAGCGCGGGAGGGGATCGGTCAGCGTCACGCCAGGTGCTGGCCTGCTGACCCGCGTCTCTCGCTGCTCTGCCCTGCCCTCCTTCCCCACACCTCCCAGCTCCGAAGGCGGTGGCGCCCGCCCAGCCCCCTCCCGCCCAATTCTGCAGCCCTGCAGGCTGGGTGGCCTCAGCCTCCCCGTCCCCTCTTGCCCTGCCCGACACCTGCTCTCCGGGGCAGTGTCAGTCAGCTGGGTCGTGCCCGTGTCAATGCCCGCCTCCCTTCATTTCCCCAAGAGCCTGGGATCTCTGCAGGTCCTTGACTCCCACACCCCTGCTCTTCCTGGGTGCTCGGGGCTCATTTCCACAGGCTCCTCACCTCTGCTGGCCTTCCTGCCCTGCCCCCTCCTGCCACCCGGGACCAGTCAGCCCTGCCCCAGCATACCCACATTGCCGCCCCCTGCATAGCCCAGGCAGGCCCTGTGTGCTGCCCCTTCCCGCCCAGTGCCTGTCCTCTGCCCCCTACTTACAGGACAGGACCAACATCTCCCCACCCCTGCCACCTGTGTGCACCTGACAACTGTCTTGCTGGCCCAGGGGGCAGCCACATTACCCTGTGTGTGGACGAAGAGTGGAGCTCCCTTGCTAAACTCAGAGCACCCACCAGAGGCCCTGGAGGGGAGGGAGCGCGAGGGGCTCAGCTGGGGATCTCCCCCTCAACCTGCTACTTGCACCCATGGGGACACGGTCTCCACCGCCTGGCCCCACCTGGGCCTGGGGCTCCAGGTCGGCTCCCAGGCGGGCCTGCAGCTTCCGCACCATCACCTGCCGTTTCCACTCGGGGATGGGCTGGCCACGCTCGTCCTGTGTGGGCACCAGCCCGTCCAGGTCGCCTGGGGGCAGCTCGCCCAGCTGCAGCAGGGCCAGGCCTTCAGGGACTTCCGGTGTTGGTATCTCAGGCCCCTGCACAGGAGGGGTCGGGTCACGTGGTCTCCGAGGGAGGGGAGGAGGGGTGCAGGGAGCATGGTCTAGCCTAAGTGTGGGGCTCTGAGGACATGGAGCTCTTGTGCAAGATGGGGTGTGCTGAGGGGCAGGGGACAATGCCTGAGAGAAGCCCCTCTCCCACACTTAGCCAGAAAGGAAGTCCAGGGCCCCTGGAATCTCACTTCCCCCGCAGGGCCTAGAGAGCTTTCCTTGACTCCCCAGGAAGGCTGGCAGGCTCCCCAGGCTCCCACCACACACTCCAGGGGCTCCAAATTCCCAGGACACACTCAGGGCCTGGTGGGGGGCACTTGGGCTGGCTGGGAGCCCCCTGAGCCCCTCCTCAGATGGCACCTGTCTCCTCTGATAGTGGATTTCACAAGGTCAGGGAGAGGCACTTGGGCAGCCAGACTCCTGGATGAAGGACAAGGGCCTGCGTCCACCCAGAACTCAGGGTGTCAGGAGCTGGCCTGGCTGCCCGGCAGAGACAAGTCCATGCCCACCCAGCCCAAGGACGCACCATGCAGGAAGCTGGGCTGCTGGTGGCGACCCTCGGCGGGGCCAGGCAGGTGGGCTGTTCCCTCGGCAGGGGCTGAGCAGGCCAGGTCGGGCTGAGAGATGCTGCTGCTGGCAGGAGGGGAGCTGTGGCTGGTAGGTAGAGGGGGCCAAGGTGACAGGGTCCCAGGGCAGAAGCAGTCCCCTGGGGCTCAGAGCCAAAAGTCTAACCAACCCTGCCCAGGGGGCCCAGCCCTACCAACATCTTCACCCTGAGCCTCCCACCTGCAGGGACATCAAGGACCCTGCACCCTCCCCCTTGTCCTCCTCGTCCCCTGCCCCCGCCCCAGCAAGGTCATGTACTCACGGGTGGGGCTCCCGACCCTTGTACCTCCTCTTCTCTCATCCTCCAGGGAATGCCTCGCAGCAGACAGTGGAGGAGGGGGGAATGGTGGGGGTGGCGGTGCCATCAGCAGGGGCACCTGGGGATGGGCAGCTTGGTCAGTGGGAAGCTCTGCCCAGCTCTGCCAGGCATGAGTGAGGCACCCAGTGGATGGGCCAGGGACCTGTGAGGCTCAGAGAAGGTCAGGGGCAGGTGAGGGTGCAGGGGACAGGTGAGGGTGAGGGTGCAGGAGATATGGTGAGGGTACAGTGGTCTGGATGAGGGTACCAGGCTGAGGGAGTCCCCTCCCGGTCTCCTGGGGCACCTGAGGTCAGGGCTCTGTACCGGCCACCCTGACTGCCCCTCTCGCCTGCAGCGGGACATGCCTACCCCAACACTGGCTTGCCTCTGGACCCAGGCTGGGGTCTGACTCAGGTGAAGACACTGGTGCGGGCATCCCCCACACTGCTTCTGGCTCTCATGCTGGGGTCTCAGGGGAGCTGGTGCTAGGAGGGGTTCCCCAGGCATAGCAGAGTCTCCCCGTCTCTTGGCCTGTGGCCCAGCTGTCCAGAACAGGGGATTGTCATGGCCCCTGGGGATGGTGGGGGCCTCCCTACCTGACTCTGGGGTGACAACAGGTCAGCCAGGACACAGAATAGAGCCCCAGGCACCTGAGAACCTCCCCACCCCGTCAGGAGTCCATGAGGCTGGGACACACCTTGGAGGGGCATTGTGCCCAGCACCTGCCACACACTGTGCACACTGGGAGGAACTAGGACTGGCACCTGGCAGGGACATATGAAAATGGGGACCACCAAGAGGTACCATGTCCTGGCTCCACCGGCTGCTTGTCCTCAAACTCGGATCCCGAGTTCATGTCTGACCCTGGGGAGCCATGGTCCCTGTTGGGGCTGGTCCTGGCCGTGGAGGCCTGGGAGGCAGCAGGTGCTCTGAGCTGTGATGTGGTCGGCAGCAGTCTGTGCTTGCCTCCCCACCTGCCCATGGCCTGAGCTATCCTCTGGGAGCTGGGCTTCAACAGCAGAGTCAGATGGCGCCTTGGGCCAGCGACTTGGTGCACACGGGGCTCCTGGGCGTGACCCCTCCACCGCACACACATTTCCTTTGGAGGCACCCCCCACCGCCCAGCAGGCCTCAGCTCCTCCCCCACCCTGCAGGCCAGCAGAGCTGGTCTCTCCTGAAAGCCACAGAAGTCCTGGCTCCCCTAGGCTTGACCCTGCACGCGTGGCCAGGGTCCACGTCACGTGTGCGGGATCCGTGCCGCCGCTCAGCTTGATACCCCACAGTCTGCAAGTTCTCACTCCTTCCCTGACTTCCCTCACCCACCCTCCCACCCAACCGCACCACATGGGCTGGCCAGGACCCTCTGCCCACCCTGCCCAGGCCACAGGTTTAGGCAGTCTGAACCCTGCAGGCTCAACCCATGCACCTCACTTCTGGAATCTGTGTTGCAGCCCAGCAGCCCTGGTCGCACGCAGTTGGGAGCCCGGGAGGCCCTTGCCAGCACCAGCCAGTGCAGTGGCAGTTGTCCCAGGCTGCCCGCTGTCCTGTGCTGCTAGGGGCTGTGAAAGGGGCCGCCCCCCAGCACAGTGGGAGGTGTTGCATGAATATTTAAAAGCCTCAGTGTCAGGTGGCCAGGCGGGCTGGGGTAGGTTGTGGGATCCCTTACCGCCTGCCTTAAGTCTAGGTGGGGCTGGGCAGGGGGCCAGGCTGGGGGCTGGGACAGAGGGGGCTCTGGTGGACTGAGGTTGCATTCCTTGGGCAGGGAGACCACCCAGAGGGCAGGGAGACCACCCTGCCCCACCACACAATAGCTTCCTAGGGGCAGAAGGGGAACAGGCTCAGAGAGAGCAAGGAACTCCGCAGGCCCCCACCCCTCCCAGCCTGAGTGCCTGCCTGTCCTCAGGGCTCCAGTGCATGGCTGAAACAGGAGCTCACGGTAGGCAGGGAAGGCGTGTGGGTCCATGTTGCAGCCCTGAGGCTTGGGGAGCAAAGGACCTCCATCCCTGCTGTGCCCCCAGGTCACTCTGGTCTCCGTAAGGGTGGACTCTTCAAGGGAGCAGTGACTGGCCAAGAAGGACCAGCTCAAACCCCAGGCCAGAAACAGCTGTCCTGTCCCTTTGGGATGGAGCCGGGGCCTGGCGGCCTTACTGGGGCCCTCAGTCCATCTCGCAGCTGAATGGGAGTCACCCTCTCAGATGTAGCAGGGGCCCCCAGGGCCGACTTCCTGCACTGGGGAAAGGTCACAGGCCCCACTGCGGCACCTGCTGGCCACTCGGTGAGTCCCTGCAGTGTCCCCAGTGGCAATCCCTGACCCTTGAACACCTGGGAAGACAAGATGTTGGGGTGTGCTCGGGCCCGGCCCAGGCTCCCCAGCAGGTCCCCAGGGTCAGCACTGGCATTGCCTGGACAGGTCTGAGCAGTGGGGACCAGCACCGGCTGTACTGGCTCCCACACGATCAGTGCTGTTGCCAGGCAGGTCCACCAGGGGCTCCTCCCAGTGTTGTATCAGCCGGATGTGGCTGTTGGCCTCTGCCTGGGCTTCTGGCGAGATTGGAGTGGTGCTGTCCTGGCCATGCATTATGCATCGAGGGCGGCCATGGGCAGCCGGGCTGCGGGCCTGTAATGCACCCGGCCGAGAAAATCATGACCCAGAGGCAAGAGCTGGACAGCAGCCGCTGGCTGAGATTCTGTTACTGGCCCAGCAGCCCGGGCCCCAGGGCACCTGAGCTCTGCCTCCTGTCAGGGTAGTAAAGGGGTCTAGGGGCCCTCATGGGGCTAAGAAGAAGGATGAGCCTGTACCAAAGGCCCACTTGAGGCAGGCACCTCCTGGGGACAACACGGCCATCTCATCTACCCTCAGAACCTTTTTATAGTCAGGAAGCCCATTTTACAGTCGGGAAGACTGAGGCTGAGAGATGCACAGAATTAGTGGTGACCCAAGTGAGCACAGGCTCAGAGACAAGGGTGGGGGCGGGCAGGAGGGCACAAGTCACCATGGGAGGTGCTGGGGGCTCAGTTCCCATCGGTGGGGGCTTCACTGTGGCCCAGGCAGAGCCTCTAGGGCGTGGCTGGCACCGGGCAGAGTGGGCACTGGGCTTGGGCAATGCGAGGCCTGGCCTTTCTGGGTGCCGAGTGCTGGTCCACAAGCCAGATTTGCAGAGAGGCACTCCCACGGGGCAGTGTCCACTTCCAGTCCCCACTGCCTCTCTTGGTACCCAGGAGTCTGCAGGGCTCAGTGTCTGGGGACAATGACAGATTCTGAGGCCAACGTGGCCAACTCCATCCACACTGTATCAGGCGGCCCGCCTGCCCACTCGCCCATCAGCACAGGTATGTGACCTCATCACCTCGGGAAGAGGGGACGTCACGGACAGCCAGCCAGGGCAGGACAGCAGTGAAGGACACAGCAAGGGCAGGCTGGCCCTGCAGGCTGGGGTAGGGCACAGGGACCGGGGACCTGCATGCGTCCACAGCTGTGGGCTTCTGTCCCCTACAGCAGTCAGGTTCTTGAGCCCAGGGCAGGGGGCGGCCTTGCCCTCTGCAACCACAGGGTCCAGGACAGGGAGTGCTCCTGCAGGGGCAGAGTCTGATTTCTGAGGTCACAGCACCAGGCCAGGCCAGACTTCTCCCCACACTGCCCCAAGTCTCAGCAGGCTTTGTGTGGGTGTCAGCTGGTGGCCCGTGAGGATGGCCGGCAGTCCCAGGGAAGACTCAGTGGGTCCTGGACCCCCAAGAGATGCCTCAAGGGCAGGGGAGGCACAGCGGCCCACAGTGAAAGCTCGGGCTGGGGACCTCGCCTGAGAACTGGGGGAGGGGCCGGTGAGCCCAGGGCTCCTTGGGATGGGTGGGAACTGAGTGGCCAGAGCTGGGGCAGGCAGGTGGATTATTCATCCAGGGCTCAGGCAGAGAGGGAGGGCCAGTGGGGGCCCTGGCTCCACCACATCAGCCACTGCGTGCAGCACCCGAGATCATCACGCCCCATCCCCACCTGTGTCCACCCGCCTCCTCTGCCCCGCTGCCCATTCAGCAAACACCCAAGGAGCCCAGGGGCTGGCGCTAGAGGACAAGACTTCTGTGCTTACATGGTCACGGGAGGAGATGGGGGTCCCGGAGAGCTAGGGCCAGCACCCGGGGTTTTGGTGAGGCTGCCGGCCGCCTCAGGTCCCCTCAGCTTGGCTCTGAGCCCTGGAGCCATGGTTTCCCTGGCCTGAGTGGTGAGCATGGCTTGGTCAAATCCAGCCATGAACCAGGCCCCGATCCTGGTCATGGCATGCTCACAGCCCCATCACAGTTCCTGTCACAACACTTACAGCCCTGTCACAGCCTCCATGACCAGTCAGACATTCTGTCATGTCCCCCCATCAAGTGGGCTAGGGTTGAAACTATGGCTAAGGTTACATTCAGAGTTAGGGCTAGGGTTAGGGTTAGGATTAGGGCCATGATTAGGCTCAGGCTGGGGTCAAGTCTAGGATTAGGGTTAGGTTGGGCTACCTTTAGGGTTAGTGCTAGAGCTGTTGTCAGAGTTGGGGTTTTTGGTTAGGGCTAAGATTAGGAACTCTGGAGTTAGAGTCATGATGAGGGCCAGGGTTAGGGTTAGTGTCAGCTCGTGGGTGAGTACCAGGGTTAGGGTTAGTGTCAGCTTTTGAGTGAGCACCAGGGTTAGGGTTAGGGTTAGGGTTAGTCTCAGCTCATGGGTGAGTACCAGGGTTAGGGTTAGTGTCAGCTTGTGGGTTAGTACCAGGGTTAGGGTTAGGGTCAGCTAGTGGGTTAGTACCAGGGTTAGTGTTAGTGTCAGCTTTGGGTTAGTACCAGGGTTAGGGTTAGTGCCAGCTTGTAAGTGAGCACCAGGGTTAGGGTTAGGGTTAGTGTCATCTTGTGGGTGAGTACCAGGGTTAGGGTTAGGGTTAGTGTCAGCTCGTGGGTGAGTACCAGGGTTGGCCTACAGCCCTCATAGTCCCCACCCCAGTGTATTTCAGGGCCCAGTCCAGGAACCTGCCCCTGCGATGTCATCATGTGTACCCCGTGGGGTTGGGGCCCACTGCCCTGTGGGCTCGGCTGTAGGCTCTGTCCACGTCCCGGCCCTCCTTGAGTTGTCTGGGATGGAAGGGACCCTTACCGGCCGGGCCATCTCCCACAGGAACTGGGCACAGTCCCGGTGACCGTGGTACTCTGCCAGGTCGGCCGCCGTGTAGCCGTCTTCATCCCGCAGGGAAGGGTCCACGTGATGGGACACCAGGGTCTGGCAGGACTGTGTGGAGGACACAGGTGGCTCATTAGGACTCTTTGGAGAGTGCCCTGGCATAGGTGGGACGGGGGCTGCCATGGGCAATCACAGCACGGTCAGGACTCAAGTCAGGGCAGCTTCCCTCCGCAGCCATGTGAAGGCAGTGTTGGTGGCCCAGTAACCCATGCGACCCTGTGGGGACATGCTGAGCACCTATGCATCAGGAACCACACTCCTGCTGTCCCTACAGAGGCTGGCTCGTGGTGGGTCCAGCTGCCAGCAGCCTGATCCTGACCTTGTCTGAGCACCGAGCCAGGCTTCCTCTCAGCCACCCTCAGAGCTGTGTGTTGTGCCCAGCGATGCCATGGCAGCTTAGGGGGCTCAGCCCTGACCCTGCTCACCTTATGCCCTGGCCTGATCCTCTGCTTCCTTGTCCTTGGGCCCCAGTGAGAGAAAGAAGTTTGCGTGCAGATGCCTCAGGTACTGAGGTGTAGCCCCGTTTTTCAGCTCCCTGCTAGCACACCCCGGGAGGTGACGGGGTGGTCCTGTCACCCACAATATGGGGAACCTGGCTGGACTAACATGGCCCTGGCAATTGGAGAGAGAGAATGAAGCAGCAGAAAGAAGGCCTCTCTCTGATGCTTTCAAGCAAGTATAGGTCTATTTTTTAATGAGGGAAAGCAAATCTCTAAATACCATCAACTCCACACACCGCACATGGACTCAGCGCACCAACGGGGGAGAAGTGACCAGCCTGGGCTGTGCTGTGGGTTAGCCTGTAAAGCTGTTGCTGCAGTGCTGCCATCCCATATGGGTGCTGGTTCGAGTCCCAGCAGCTCCACTGCTGATCCCGCCCCCTGCTAAGGCACCTGGAAAGCAGCAGAGGACGGCCCAAGTGCTTGGGCCCCTGCACCCATGGGAGAACTCGAGGAAGCTCCGGGCTCCTGGTTTCTGACCGGGTTAGCCATCTGGAGTGAACCAGTGGGTAGACTCTCTTTCTCTCTGTGAAACTCTGCCTTTTAAGTAAATAAAACAATCATAAGCAAAAATGGAATACAACCACACACTGCTAACTAGAGCCCCGGCCAGACCTGAGGGTCCCTAGGACTGCTCGGCCACATGTGTGTCTGATGGACAGTTACAGGGCAGGCACAGTGGATGGACAGTCTGGGGGTGTCAAAGGGAGACACAGAAAGCCCAGGGTCGGAATGGAGGTTACACAGCTCCCCTGACAATGTTTGGCTCAGCTGACTCAAGTTTCTAACTTCAGATGCAAAGAACTCACTCTATAGGCATCACAGGCCGGCCCGCCTGGCCTTTGCAAGCTGAGCTGGTAAGGAAGTTAGGAAGAGGACGAAGAACGAGGCACTCAGGGGGCAGCTCCAGCCGCCGTGTCTGAAATCAGCACAGACAAGGACACCTGAGACCTCCACGTTGGCGCTGAGACCCACTCCCTCCCGGGCAGGGCGAGTCAGGGGTGTGGAAGCGCTCTGATCACGGCTGCCATCGTCATCGTGAAAGGGTGGGTGACGAAATCGGTCTGCCACCGACTCCCCAAAGGCCGAGAGTACCCAGGGGCACCTGACATCAGGAGCCTGGGACTCCACGTGTCACAGGGACCCGAGCATGTGAGCCGCCTCCTGGGACACGTCAGCAGGGAGCTGACTCAGAAGCGGAGGTGCCAGGACTGAAAGCAGTGGTCTGACATGCAGCGCAGCTGTAGGAGCCGGCAGCCCAGCCATGTGCCCTCATCAGGGAGCCGGGCTACTTCTTTATCTATCTATTTCCAATAAAAATAAATAGGCCTTATAGAAACACTTCTCTTAAGAATAAATTCAGATTTCTTTCTTTTTTTTTTTATTGGAAAGCTGGTGTGCCAGCAGTGGAAAGCCACTAGGCTATCATGCTGGGCCCTAAAAATAATTTTTAAAAACTCTGACATCTTTTTCTTCTTTTCTGTCCTACTCCTTTTTTAAAAGATTAATTTTTAAAAAGATTTATTTATTTTGGAAAGGCAAATATGCAGAGAAAAGGAGAGACAGAAATATCTTCCATCCGATGATTCACTCCCCAAGTGGCCATAATAGCCAGAGCTGAGCCAATCAGAAGCCAGGGACCTGGAGTTTCTTCCGGGTCTCCCACGTGGCTGCAGCATCCCAAGGCATTGGGCTGTCTTCTACTGCTTTCCCAGACCACAAGCAGACCCCTCCCTGAACTAATCTTAAAAATAAATAAATAGGGTCCAGCACAGTAGCCCAGTAGCTAAAGTCTTCACCTTGCATGCACTGGGATCCTGGCAGCCCAGCTTCCCATCCAGCTCCCTGCTTGTGGCCTGGGAAAGCAGCTGAGGACGGCCAGAAGCCTTGGGAACCTGTACCCATGTGGGAGACCTGCAAGAGGCTCCAGGCTCCTGGCTTCAGATCAACTCAGCTTCAATTGTTGTGGCCACTTGGGGAGTGAATCAACAGACAGAAGAGCTTCTCTCTGTCCTCCTCTCTGTGTATTTGCAATAAAAATAGATAAATCTCTAAAAAATAAATAGAGTAAGATTTCATCTATTTGTATGAGGGAAGGCAGTTGTGACTTCACCACATAACGTTCACCTGAGACAAGATGACACCGGCGTGTCCCAGACCACGTAGCATGCGGGCACACGCTGCAGTGTTCTGGACTGGAAACAGTGAAAGACCAAGAAAATATAGTGAAAGAAAATAGCAAGAAAATTCAAACTGGCATAAAGGACTTTAGGGTACAGAATTACTAAAAACCAGTTATAAACACCCAAACTAAAACACTCAGCTTCGGTGGCTTTGGGGGATCTGGAGGCTCGGGGCCTCTGGGGCCGGAGGAGTGGAACGGGCCTGGGAACACACATGTCTGGGTACCAGGCAGGTGTTAGGGGACAGGGTTAGGGCCCACATGCCAGCATGTTGTGGACTCCCAAACCTGCTTGAGTCCCAGCTGGGTGGAGTGGTGGGGTCGCAGCCCAGCACGCACGCCAGAGGACTTGCTCTGGGGTTCCGAGCGGGTGGGCAGGGCCCCAGGCCAGCACCCCACCCCACCAGTGACAGGGCTGGGGGTCCATGTACTTGCAGGTGTGGGGACTGTGGATTGGTCAGGAAAGGGGGTACAGGGCGTCTGGGAGGGAGGACTGCTGAGGGAGTACGTTCCACAGAAGGAATGACTTCTGCCAACGAGGCACTGCGCTTGCAGGTCAGTGAGATTGATGAGGCTGAGCAGCTGGCAGGAGGGAAGCTGGAGGAACTTTCTTGCCCATATGGGAGCCTGAGCTGGGCCAATTAACATCGACCACCACCCACTGGCACATACCAAAGGTAGGGCTGATGGCCCACTTGGCAGGGCTAGATCACAGTACCCACCAGCGAGTGTTGGAACAGGGGGCCAGCAATGTTAGGCTGGACCACGACACTAGCCAGCTCAGGAGAGAACCAGGCCTGGGAGCAGACTTTGTGGGGGACATGTGGACTCAGGCCTGTGGAACTACAATATCCGCTGGTCTGCTCAAGGGCTGGGGTGGGGGACGGGCTGAGCTTGGCATGACCATGGAAGCCCCCAACACTCATGGGTACTGGGGTTGGGAACAGGCCGGGCTGGTCCAGGCTGTAGCACCCACAGACGCACACAAGAATAGGATGTGGGGTGGGCTGCAACATCTACCAGCACACACAGCTCGGGACGGCGGGGGGATGTCAGGTAAGGGCCTAGCACCTGCCAGCAATGTGAGATCTGGGCCCGGGAGTGGGTCTGGGAGTGGGTCTGGGAGTGGGCCTGGGAGTGGGTCCGGGAGTGGGCCTGGGAGTGGGTCCGGGAGTGGGTCCGGGAGTGGGTCCGGGAGTGGGCCTGGGAGTGGGCCCGGGAGTGGGTCTGGGAGTGGGTCCGGGAGTGGGTCTGGGAGTGGGTCTGGGAGTGGGCCTGGGAGAGGGTCTGGGAGTGGGTCCGAGAGTGGGTCCGGGAGTGGGTCCGGGAGTGGGTCCGGGAGTGGGCCCGGGAGTGGGTCTGGGAGTGGGTCCGGGAGTGGGTCCGGGAGTGGGTCCGGGAGTGGGTCCGGGAGTGGGTCCGGGAGTGGGTCTGGGAGTGGGCCTGGGAGTGGGTCCGGGAGTGGGTCCGGGAGTGGGTCCGGGAGTGGGTCCGGGAGTGGGCCTGGGAGTGGGCCTGGGAGTGGGTCTGGGAGTGGGTCCGGGAGTGGGTCTGGGAGTGGGTCCGGGAGTGGGCCTGGGAGTGGGTCCGGAAGTGGGTCCGGGAGTGGGCCTGGGAGTGGGTCCGGGAGTGGGTCCAGGAGTGGGTCCGGGAGTGGGTCCGGAAGTGGGTCTGGGAGTGGGTCCGGGACTGGGTCCGGGAGTGGGTCCGGGAGTGGGCCTGGGAGTGGGTCTGGGAGTGGGTCCGGGAGTGGGCCTGGGAGTGGGTCCGGAAGTGGGTCCGGAAGTAGGTCCGGGAGTGGGTCTGGGAGTGGGTCCGGGAGTGGGCCTGGGAGTGGGTCCGGGAGTGGGTCCGGGAGTGGGTCCGGGAGTGGGTCCGGGAGTGGGCCTGGGAGTGGGTCTGGGAGTGGGGTCTGGGAGTGGGCCTGGGAGTGGGCCTGGGAGTGGGTCTGGGAGTGGGTCTGGGACTGGGTCCGGGAGTGGGTCCGGGAGTGGGTCCGGGAGTGGGTCCGGGAGTGGGCCTGGGAGTGGGTCCGGGAGTGGGCCTGGGAGTGGGTCTGGGAGTGGGCCTGGGAGTGGGCCTGGGAGTGGTTCCGGGAGTGGGCCTGGGAGTGGGTCTGGGAGTGGGCCTGGGAGTGGGCCTGGGAGTGGGCCTGGGAGTGGGTCTGGGAGTGGGCCTGGGAGTGGGCCTGGGAGTGGGTCCGGGAGTGGGTCCGAGAGTGGGCCTGGGAGTGGGTCTGGGAGTGGGGTCTGGGAGTGGGCCTGGGAGTGGGCCTGGGAGTGGGCCTGGGAGTGGGTCTGGGAGTGGGCCTGGGAGTGGGCCTGGGAGTGGGTCTGGGAATGGGCCTGGGAGTGGGTCTGGGAGTGGGTCCGGGAGTGGGCCTGGGAGCGGGCCTTAGAGTGGGCCCGGTGGGGAACCTGAGGAACTCCCCTGGTGGGCTGTATTTCCTGCTGGTAGGCTCATGAGTCTGGGCTGGGTGTTGATCAGGCCAGGGGAGGGTGCTCCACTTACCAGCAAGTGCGTGGGCTGGTGCAGTTGGGGGTAGTGTTTTGGACCAGGGAGGACCGAGCCAAACTTTAGCACGCTGGCATGTGCAGGAGCCAGGATGGAGTGTGGGCCATGCCAGGCTAGGCTATCACACCTAGAAGTTTGCATGAAAGCCAGGGATGGGAGCAGACTGGGCAGGGATAGGCTGCAGCACCCACCAGTGAGTTGGGTCTGGGGGCAGGGCGGGACAGGCCAGGCTACAGCATCCAATGGCAAAGGCCAAGACAGGGGATGGGCTATGCTGGGCTGGGTCAGAGCAACCACTAGTACACACAAAATCCTGGGAATCTAGCTGGGCGCAGGCCTGGCTGGGGAACTAAGGGAACGCCTGGTTGGACTATGGTTCCACTGTAAGAGCTGGAGTAGGGGCTGCGATCTGGGCTGGACATGGCTACAGTATCCCTTGGCACAGGTGTGGGCTGGGTCTGGGATGTGCCAGACTGGACTAGGCACCAGCACTGGTCTGGGCTAGGTCTCGGCACCTGTTGAATATCACAAGAGCTGGGTCTGGGGGTAGGCCAGGCAGGGCTGGGCTGTAGCACCCAACAGTAAGAGCCAGAATGGTCAGGCAAGGTTGCTGTTCCTGCCAGGACAGGAGGTAGGCCAAATCAGGCTGGACAAAGGATCCACTTGTGCATGTGAGATCTGGAAGGTGGCACGATAGAGGCGCTTGGGGAACTCTGTCAGGACACAGTCCCTGCAGATGAGTGCAGGAACCGAGGCTGGGAGCAGCCCAGACCAAGCTAGGTTACAGCACCTGTTGGCATACATGTGGGCCAGGTCTGGGGGCAGGCCAGGCTGGTCCAGCTCAAGGCACCCACTGGCAGATATGAGAGCCAGGACGGGTTATAGGACAGGCCAGACTGGGCCACAGCATCGGCCAGTTCACATTAGTACCAGGACTGGGGGCAGACCAGGCTGGGCTAGGCTGTACCACATGCCAGCATGGGACTAGCAGCTTAGTTTGGCCTCTGCCACTTTTATTTTGCCAAAGCAGATAAAACTATAGTGCCCTCAGATGACGCCCTGGGGCAAGCTGGCACAGGACTGCAGCCAATGGGGCTGCCCTACGCTAGCCTGGCTGTCCTTGGTGACCTGTTCCAGAGGGGATGTTCATGGGACCTTAGGCTTTACCAAAAAGGCAAAAATAAATTATATATACATATATATATATATATATAACCCACAGCCAAATTTCTGAAGCTTCTTTCCTTAAAAAACTATTATGGGAAACAAACAAACAATTATGGGGGCTGGTGTGATGGTACACAGGCTAATCCTCACCCTCTAGTGCTGGCATCCCATATGGGCACCATTTCATATCCTGGCTGCTCCATTTCCCATCCAGCTCCCTGCTTGTGGCCTATGGAGGCAGGAGAACAGGCCTAAAGCCTTGGGACCCTGCACCCATGTGGGAGACCCAGAAGAAGCTCCTGGCTTCGGATTAGCTCAGCTCCAGCTGTTGCAGCCACTTCTGAAGTGAACCAGTGGACAGAAGATCTTCTCCATATCTCCTCTCTGTATATCTAATTTTCCAATAAATTTAATAAATTTTAAAAAAATTGTGCAAGTGTTTACAGTAGGTATCTGGACGAAGGAAGACTGAGGTGGACCATGTCAGCCAATGGACCTTGGAAGGATTCCCCCAACCTTGGACCGGCGAGATACACCATGTTTCAGAATTATCGAACCACTTGCGCAGAACCCTCAGAGCATGCTCCACACTGGGGACTCCGGGATGGCATGGGTGGCTGTCCCCCATCCCTAGGTCCTGAGGTGACTGGGAGGCTGGGTGCGGCTTCTTTCCTGTTCTGTGTTCTTCTCCCAGTTACAGGAATAAGAAAAAGAAAATTGGAAACAATGGTCTCACCCATTTTCCTCTTTCCTCAACACTTCTCGCCTTAGTCAGGGGCCCACATGGGCATACACCCTCCTCAACTGCAAACATCATCAAAAATAAAATTTAAAAATTCAGGTGAACGTGCACACTGAAGTTGCATGAGACCTGGAATAAAGAGGCTGAGGACAGTGGGAAGTGTAAATGCATTACTGGGTTAGGCACAGCTTCCCCCTCGGCGCCCAGCGCTGGGGTGCCAAGCCTCTGGGGGCTTTGCTGGCCACGCTCTCCACAGACTCACTCTCTCTAACTGTCCTCAGAGCCCCCGAAGCCTGTGAATTGATGAGTGGTAAAGAGGGGGTGTGCATCTCCCACACAGGGGAGGGGCATCGGCCCCCCGCCCCCGCACCATCCCTCAGACGAGGCTGTCTTGGGTGACAGAGGCACAGAGCATGGCTGAGGTGTGACAGGGGGAGGCGGCAGAGCACGCTGCCACAGCAAATGCCCAGGACCCTGAAACGGTATGCTGCAGTCATGGGAGCAATGGGACAAGCAGGTGATGATTCAGTAGAAAAAGCAGGGTAACACACACCCCTCAGACCAGAAACTGCGACGCACTGGAGCACGAGGGGCCCACGCAGGCTCTGCTGCCTCTGGGGCGAGAGGGCCCCCCACACCGCTATCTGGAAATCTACTGGGAGTTTTCAGTGATTTAAAAGGCAGAGCCAGGAAGCCCAGTATCTCCCACCCACTGGCTCACTCCTCAAAGGTCTGCAATGGCCAGGGCTGGAACTCAAGCTGGTTCCCCCAAGTGGGAGGTAGGGACCCCCAGATACTCGGGACACCCCTGTCGCTTCCCAGGCTGTGCTCTGCCAGAAGCTGGGGTGGACAATGGGGAGGTGACAGGGACCCAGGTGCTGACGTGGGGTGCCAACTGTCAGATGCCCACCCATGATTTTAAGACGGAGGAGGCTAAAGTGACATGGTAACTAAATGTTGGCAGGACCCAGGGGCTGGGGCTGGCTGCAGGGAGGGTGGGCTGTGGTCGGGGGGCAGATGCACCGTGCAAGCACCACCAATGGGGGAAATGGGTGTGCAGGTGTGGGGGTCATTTTCTCAATTCTTTTTACTTCTGAAACCATTGTTTTTTTCTCTCTCTCTCCCAAAAAAGAAGTTTACTTATTTTCATCTACTTGGAAGGGAGAGAGCAAGAGTGAGAATGTTCTATCTGCTGGTTTGTTTCCCAAATGTCCCTAAAAAGCAGGGCCAGGTCACGCACTGGAAGCCCCCTGGATTTCCCCCGTGTGACACTAACCGTACAGAGCACATCCTGCCTGCGTTAGGGCCTGGGAGCTCTTTACGGGGACCAGGCCATGGGACCTCCCTGAATGAGGTGGACAGAAGCAGAGGGGCTAACACCCTCTGTGCAGGGTCCAGCCAGCAGCCGAGGCCAGTGGGGGTGGTACCCAAGCCCAAGGCCTGAGCGGGCAGCAGACTTGTGCATGAGACTGTCCCTCTGCCCTCCAGCCTGCCCATGCCCAGCTCTGCTGGGATGACTCTAGGGCTCAACGTCATGTTTACCAGTGCCCAGCCATGAGCAACACCACCTTCTCCTAGCCTCCAGCTCCCAGCCTCCCACTCCTAGCCTCCAGCTCCAAGCCTCCAGCTCCTAGCCTCCAGCTCCCAGACTCCTGCTCCTAGCCTCCAGCTCCCAGACTCCTGCTCCAAGCCTCCAGCTCCCAGCCTCCAGCTCCCAGACTCCTGCTCCTAGCCTCCAGCTCCCAGCCTCCAGCTCCAAGCCTCCAGCTCCTAGCCTCCAGCTCCCAGACTCCTGCTCCTAGCCTCCAGCTCCCAGACTCCTGCTCCAAGCCTCCAGCTCCCAGACTCCTGCTCCAAGCCTCCAGCTCCCAGCCTCCAGCTCCCAGACTCTGCTGTGCCCTCCTACCTCCAGGTGCCCGTTCTCGGCGGCGTCGTGGAGGGGTGTCCCACCCCAGCAGTCTCTCAGGATGGGAGCACCCATGAGCAGCAGCCGGTCCAGAATGGGCGTGTGGCCACCACGAGCGGCAAAATGCAGGGCGGTGGCCCCCTCGTTGTCCCGTGCCATCAGGCCGCTGTCAGTGAATGTCACCTGGGGAGGCAGGTGCCAAGAGGCTGAGATGAAGTGGCCACCCTCAGGGAGGGGTGCGGAGCTGAGCAAGGATGTCTCTTGGGAGCAGCCTTGGGGTGGGGGTAGAGTGGGCTCATGGTGTCCTTGCACCTGGGACAGCAGTTTGGAGACCATGTGTCCCAGAGGGAAGCTGGACACAGTGGGAGTGTCAGCCTTGGCTGACCCCACACACAAACGCAATGCTCCCTTACCAGCCAGACGACGAGTGAGTAGTGGCCGTGGGCGGCTGCGGCATGCAGTGGGCTCATGCCGTCGAGGGCCCGCAGGTGCACGTCAGCCCCGCAGTCCTTCACCAGGAACTGAGCCAGGTGCAGGTGGCCCTCCTGGCAGGCCAGGTAGAGCGGTGAGGCGCCACTGCGGGTCTGCCGGTTCACACCACTGCAGGGGAGGGGGTTCAAAGTGGGCCTGCGGTCTCCTGAGGAGGGGGCTGGAGGCGGCCCAGCCCCTTGCCCACCTTTTCATGCGCCCTCTCCTCCACAACCTGTAAAGTTGCACAAGTCGCACGCTACCTGAGGACCCATACAGTGAGGCTTGGGGTGCCCTGAAAGCAGCACCCCTCCCCATTAAGCTGGGGCCCCTTGAGGGCCAGGAGCATAGCAGGGCTTGGAGCGGCCAGGAACCCAGCCCGGCCTTGGTGAGCTGCGCTCTGCCCTCATCGGGTGTGAGGCCCAGGTGAATGCTGCTGCCTCAGGAGCAGCTGTGGCTGCACTGGCCACTTGCACAGGCTGACTCGGCTCCCGGCTCCCGGCTCTGTAAATGGGCTTTCCCAAATCCGCCAGGCTTTTGGTCCCTCCCAGAGCTGGGGCTCGGGCCATCCTGCACTATCTTTTCCCCTTTTCTTTCCTGGATCTGGGTTGTAAACATCTGCCTTTTCAGAGCCTAGATGGTCCCAGTGTCCAATAGACGCTGACCTCTTTGCTGTCCCCAGTGACCATGGCTGACCTTGACTCCAGGGGAGCTGGGGTCAGAGCCCTGACTTGGATATAGACCCTGGGAGCCTCCCAGCTTACTCCCCACTTCCCTTACCCAAAGCCCAGTGACTTGGAGCTGGCAGTGACAGGGGATGACATTGGTCACTCAGTCCTGGATGGTCACAGCCTCAGGTGGCACAAAGCTGCGTGATTGGCCCTGCACTACCACCACCATGGTCAGGATCTGTGCGTGCTCTTGTTTGTTGCTAGCCAGGGCACCCGGTGGGCAGTGCCTGGCCTTGAGCTACGCTGTTGGGCTCCTTGTCTGTTCCCGGAACACACCCCAACGGGAAGGGCGCATGGCTGCACAGCGGTGCCCTTCCTGAGGGGAGTCTGTGCTCTCGTCTGACCCGCTGCCTCCCGGGCTGCATCTGGGGTTAGGACAAGCAGGTGTCCAGGGCAGCAGCAGGTGATGTGGCCCGTGGAGGGTCAGGGATGCACTCATGCCGGACAGCAGGTGGGGTGCAGATCAGAGCCTAGGCTTCCCCTTAGGGCTGTACATGTGTGTGCTTGCACATGTGCACACGTGTGTACACATGTTCAGTTAGGTCTAGGGGCAGTGTGGCGCCCTGGGGAAGGGCAGCAAACAAATCCCAAAGGCCCTCTGGGCTGGAACAGGGAGAGTGGATATAGGAACCCTGCCTATCACTGAGCTGGAACAAGTGCAGGGACACCAAGCTGACCAGACACCAGACTGGGAGAGCATAGTCGGAGTGGGGGAAGACTGTTGGGGGACGTGGCATCACCTCTTGAGCTAGCATAAAGCCTGGGTGAACCCATGGGTGTCATCCACTGTGGTGGGGAAGGGCCATTCCCTGCAGGGCAAGGACCAAGCACCGCCCATGGTGGGCAAGGGGGGTACTGCTGCATTTTCCCTGGCAGCTGGCCCCTCCCCTGCTCCTCTCCTGTGTCATCAATCCTAGATGACCGAGCCAGTCCCCAGCCCGAGGACAGAACAGTGGGAGGAGGAATCAGGGCTGCTGGGTGGCGTTGGTGCCTCCGAGCCCACTAGACCACATCTGGTCCTGAGCTGAGAAATGGGCATCCACAGTGCCCAGGCTGTGCCCACCATAGCCCTAGTGCCCAGGCTGTGCCCACCACAGCCTTACTGTCCAGGCTGTGCCCCCTGCACCAATACCCACAGCACTTGGATGTACCCATCACCCCCAATGTCCACAGTGCTTTGGATGTGCCCACTGCCCCCAGCCATGCCCCTGGCATGTGGCTAACAGTTAAGCCGTGAGTCCTCTGGACCGGGACAAGGCTCACCCCGGCTCGGCCGACAGCACATTTGCCAGCTGGTTCCTGGAGGTTGCCCCTCCCCCCCCGGAGGGTCTCTGAGCTCTCACCTGCTGTGGGCAGCCACCAGGAGCTTCAGGCAGGTCAGGTTCCCACTGGCAGCTGCATGGTGCAGTGGCAAGGCACCCTCCCGAGTCTCCAGCGTGGCTGAATGGCCCTCCTGCAGTAGCCACTCCACTAGCGTGGGGTGTGCGAAGCGGGCGGCCAGGTGCAGTGGGGAGACGCCTGAGTCATCCTGGTCCTACTGAGGCACAGGCAGAGCTTGAGCCGGGGCAGATCGCAGCCGGCTTGTGCCGGAGACACTGGCATGGCCAGGGTAGGCTGTCTGAGGCTGGGCTGAGTGGGGCCACCTGCTCCAGGTGACAAGCACAAGGATTCAAGCCCAGGTCCTGGGGACTCTGCCCCATCCAGACCTCCCCACTCCTACCATCCGTGTCCGAACCCCTCCCACTCTGCTCATGGTCAGAAAGCACCCCTTGCCTACATAGTCCCACAATGCCCACCTCTGGGGTTCACCTCCCCATCCCCTGACAGGTGCCTGGGGCCCCAAGCATCACCACATGGCTACTTAGTGCCTGCTAGATGCGGCCTTTCTCCAAACGCTCTCGCCTCCGATCCCAATGAGCAGAGGAGTGGGGACAGCTCTCCCTGCTGTCTTTGGGGTTGTCACAGGGCCAGCAGGGGCAGGGTGCTGAGTTGGCACACTGAGGTGCCAATGGGCAGGGTGTTGGTGAGCCTAGGTCCTCCTGGGCTGCCTCCACCGGGAACACAGCAGGCTGACCCACAGCATGAAGGTCCTTGGCCTGCTCCAAGGGGGACTGGACAGAAAGGGGCCCAGGTGGACAGGCTCTGGACAGGATGGTCCTGTGACCCGAGGGCTCCCTCCTTCTCCTCCCACCCCACAGCCTGGCCAGGCCCTCTGTGCCAGCTTTTCCTGCCCTCACTCTGCCACGTGCTCCGGCAGCGGGGAGGAAGCAACGCAATGGTGTACAGCTGGCTGGTGCAGAGGGGCCTGGACTTCCAAGGGTCTCGCACTGGCCTTGGGGACGGGGACGGGTAGGGACAGACAACGCAACCAAGTCCCTGAGAGAACCCAGGGGCAAGGCTGTGCCAGCCAGCCTCCTGGCCCAGCTTCTCTGCCCCACTCCAGCAAGATGGACAGAGGCTGCCAGGCCGCCCCTTCTGCTCACCTGCAGACCGCAGCCCCCATCACGGACGAGCCAGCACAGCTCTGCCAGACCGCCCGTGGCAGCTGCATCATGCACTGGCGTGGCCCCATTGTGGGCCCGCTGGGTGCCGGGCAGTTTGGCCCGCTGCACCAGGAACTTAACGCAGTCCAGGTGGCCGGCCCGAGAGGCATGGTGCACCAGGCCGGCCCCCAGGGTGTCCGTGATGCCTGGGCCGAGGGCTCCAGCCTCCAGCAGCAGCTCTAAGGTGGCCAGGTCCCCTTCCCGGGCGGCCTCTAGGGCCCGCTGCCCCTCCATCCTCCGGCCCCGGGCTCTCGGCGATGGCTCATGTCCGAGCCCAGCCGGGCTTCCTGTTTCAGGCGTGGACGCAGCTGCCGGCTCTGGTTACCTGATAAGCAGGCGCAGGGCAGATGGGAGGCGGCAGCAGGAGGGGCAAGCCCTGGGGACCAGCCCTCGCAGCCTTGCCCACGCTGCTCCTGGCGCTCATGGGCCCGGTGCCCAGAGCACATCACAGGGGAGGGGCCTGCACCCAGGTAGGCCAGCAGAGGAGGGAGGTGGGTCCAGCGGCCAGGACACACAGGGGGAGAGCGGAGGAGGCTCCGTCAAGCTCTCAGCCTGGGAGGGGCTTCCAGCAGGGCAGACAGACACCCCCCCACTTTCTTCGTTCCAGAACGTAGCCCGCTCCCCGCAGCAACATCAGCTCCCAGTTCTTGGGGAGACAGACACACCCACTGTGTTTGTGACTCCTCGTGCCCCTGGCAAGGGCTGACCATTTGGCTGTGTCCCCCCAGGGAACCCGATGGCCCTTGCTCTTGGGGAAGCTACATGTGTATCCTGGTCCCAACTGGCCCTCAGTTCTGCAGGCCTGTAACAGAGGTGGCCGCAGCCCCGAGCTCTGGGGTGGCCGGGAGTCCAGCCTGCTCTCTGGGGGCCAGGGAGCTTTTCTGGGGAGCTCAGGGCCAGCATGGCCTCGAGTTTGCAGACACAGGAAGCTGCAGAGCAGGGATCATCTTTCTGGGGGCTCCTGGTGGCTGCACACCACCCCCTACTCAGACGTGGGGGACCCAGGGAAGCACACCTCATACCCACCAAGAACCTGGGTACTACATGCCAAGCGTGGAAATCCTTTATCAGCTCTGGGTAGCACCTTTGAGACCCCCCCATTCCTATGCAGATGAATGCTCCTGCAGCCAGGGCCCTGTGAGGGCTGCAGGAGGGTCTAAGTCCTTCAGCTTGAGTGGGAGGGGAGATCTGCTCCTGGCCTCAGGACACTGGCTGTCTGCAGCAATGAGCAGAGGATTGGGAAATGAGATGGGAGCTAGCAGCTTGGGCAGTGCCCGGGATGGCAGCAGTGGAAGGCACCTGGCTGCCACAGGCACATCCTGCCTTGGATGAGGCTGAGGCTGGACAGCGGCCAGAGCAGGGCCCACTGATGCAGCATGTAGAGTTCCTGGGAGCTGGCATGTGTAGGAGTCACAGCCGAGTCAACATCCAGGTTCCTATGTTTCTGACGAAGGCCCTTGGGTTTTACCTTCCGGGAAAGACCACCACTTCCAGGAAGGGCACTCGGGTGTGCTCCGTGATGACTGGAGAGGTGTTGGGCGCGGCTGTAACCTGTCCACTCTGCCATCACCCTAGGCAGCAGGAGGCAGGGTGGTCCAGTGTGGCACGATAGGAGGCACGTGTACCAGATGGCCCAGTCTGGGGAGGAGCAACTCACACAGATGCCCCCATGTTCTGACACGCAGGGGCGGAGTGAGACAAGAAGGGACAGGGTGGTCCTGGGTGGCCCACTGTGAGGAGGGTTCCTATGCAAGGCAGTGGTAGTGGGCCCTGTCCGGGGCTAGGTCTGGCCCTCCAGCCGGGCCACGGCTTGCTTCAGATCCTGCACGACGAGCTCTACCTCGGCCCTGGTGGTGCCACGGCCCACGCTGAGGCGCAGTGCGTTCCTGGCCACGGCGAAGGGGATGCCACAGCTCAGCAGCACGGGCGATGGCCTGGGGGCGGGAAGGGCAGTCAGTCAAGGCTGCTTCCAAGGCTCTCGGCCAGGTCCCCAGCAGGGGGCTGTGGCAGCCCTGTGTCCACCTGCTGGCCTGGCTGTGTGTGCCCATGACCCCCTCCACCTGCCAGCCTGGCCGTGTCCCCACGATCCCCTCCACCTGCCAGCCTGGCCGTGTCCGCACGAACACGGACCCTCCACCTGCCAGCCTGGCCATGTCCGCACGAACACGGACCCTCCACCTGCCAGCCTGGCTCTCTTCTCCTTTCCGCGTCCCTCACCTCTCTCCTCTCCTGCCTCACTCCACCCTTCACCTTCTCCCTCACCTCACCCTTCATTCCCACAAGGTGTGCCCAGCCAGCTCTGGGCCAGCAGAGTCCATCCAGCAGAGGGCGGGCTGTGCAGGGCTTTCAGGGTGGCACCCAGAGGCCGAGCATTGTCCACCCAGCCCGCCCTGCCCATGCACTCATCACAGGTCCACACACACGTAGCCAGGCCAGAGGGGGCAGCCACCACCGCAGCCCCTAAGTGCTTGTCCAGGGGGAGGATGTTAGCCCTTCTCTCCTCTCAGCCTCCTGTCAGGCCCCGGGAACAGCAGGCCCTTCCCTGCTCCTTCCCCTCCTGCCTTCTCAGCACCTTGTTGGTTGGGCCTCCTACACTGGCAGCTCTCATTTCTGAGGTCAAGTGCCTCAGTTTCCTCATCTGAGAAATGGACAACTCACCATGGAGGATGCCCTGAGCAGCAGCCACCTTGGAGACATCAGGGTCAGCCCCTGTGCCCGTGGCAGGGCCTACACCTCTCAGCTCCCCTGGTACCCCTGGCCCCTGGCCTCAGCTGCCTTCCAGGAAGCCCCTTGATGCCCTGCCCACCGGGAACGGGGTTGCTCCTCAGAGCCAAGCTCCCTGCACAATCCCACCAGACGGGGGTGATGGCTGCTGCTCCCCAGGCACCTCGCCCTGCAGCTCCCCAGGCACCTCACCCTGCAACTCCCCAGGCACCTCGCCCTGTAGCTCCCCAGGCACCTCGCCCTGCAGCTCCCCAGGCACCTCGCCCTGTAGCTCCCCAGGCACCTCACCCTGCAACTCCCCAGGCACCTCGCCCTGCAGCTCCCCAGGCACCTCGCCCTGTAGCTCCCCAGGCACCTCGCCCTGCAGCTCCCCAGGCACCTCGCCCTGTAGCTCCCCAGGCACCTCGCCCTGCAGCTCCCCAGGCACCTCGCCCTGTAGCTCCCCAGGCACCTCGCCCTGCAACTCCCCAGGCACCTCGCCCTGCAGCTCCCCAGGCACCTCGCCCTGCAGCTCCCCAGGCACCTCGCCCTGTAGCATGCCAGGCACCTCGCCCTGTAGCATGCCAGGCACCTCGCCCTGCAGCATGCCAGGCACCTTGCCCTGCAGCTCCCCAGGCACCTCGCCCTGCAGCATGCCAGGCACAAACCTTATGTCTTGCAGGTTGTTCTCTTTGGTAGCCATCCCCACCCCCCATCGTCCTGTCCCTGTATCCTCCAGCACTGGGTGTGGCAGAGGGCACTTACTGGTCCCCATGGTCCGAGTGGCAAGCAGCCCCCACACTGGCCAGCAGCGTCCGGCACTGTGCGAGCACCAAGCGGCCTGTGGAGACAGCACGGGGCCTGCTGAAGCGGGCAGGAGCAGACCCTGGGGCGTGCCCTGCTCCAGCCCAAGTGCTCCCTCCTTTCTGCAAAAACTCAGTGACTGCTGAGGAGAATCTATCTCCTTTAAATGAATCCAGGTGGCCACTGGGCAGGCTTGGCTGTGATGGGCCAGGGAACCCGCAGGGTCCCACGGGACAGCCAGGCTAGCAGGGTGAGTGCACTCCTGAGGCCTGGATGAAGCCAAGTGTGCTTGACGCTGGTGTCCTTGAGGGGCCCCAGCTGGCCTTGTGCCTTTGGGGAGCCCGAACTGCTCCCGGGCTGGGAGGAGACCCCTCCCAGGGGACTGTTTGTAACAGGTGCACACAGCACTGACGGTTCTGGCTCAATGTGGACTGGGGTGCTGAGTGTACGCTGCGCACGCACAGAGCCCAGTGCAGAGCTCAAAGACAGGGAGGACACACGCAGGAGGGGGTCCTGGCCAAGCACAAACAGCGACCAGCGCCAAGGCAGCTCTTCGCTGGGTGTGCTGGGCCAGTGGGACCTCAGCCTGCCCTTGGGTGAGTTCTGGGCATGCTGGGCCAGTGGGACCTCAGCCTGCCCTTGGGTGAGTTCTGGGCATGCTGGGCCAGCGGGACCTCAGTCTGCCTGCAGGGGGAGCTCTGGGCGTGCTGGGCCAGCGGGACCTCAGTCTGCCTGCAGGGTGAGCTCTGGGCGTGCTGGGCCAGCGGGACCTCAGCATGCCTGCAGGGTGAGCTCTGGGCATGCTGGGCCAGCCAGCGGGACCTCAGCCTGCCCCTGGGGTGAGCTCTGGGCATGCTGGGCCAGCGGGACCTCAGCCTGCCCCTGGGGTGAGCTCTGGGCATGCTGGGCCAGTGGACCTCAGCTTGCCCCCAGGTGAGCTCTAGCTCAGACTCAAGAGTGCAACCCACAGCACCGAAGCAGCACACACTGGAAGGACGGGGGGGACACGGGCGGTCACCTTGCAGCTGAGGACCCCGGATGGAAAAGTTACAGGTGTTGGGCAGCCGCTCGGTGCCTGGAAACCGGCTGTTCAGATGGATTCTCTTCTTGCCAAATTCAGCCTGGGGAGAACAATGCCATCACGTGACAGTTTCAAAGACCTCTCCACTTACTTGAGCTTCTTCTAGGAAACGAAACCTCAACAAGCAAACACTCCTCTTCTCAGCTGGCTCCGGTCTGTGGCGGTAACGGCAACAGACCTACTATGCACACCAATCCACACGGACCTCCTGCACTAGGCCATCAAACACGTCATCTCTGGCACATTTGGCCAGGATTTGGGACCTGGGCTCGGGAGCCTCTCTGCCTGACTCCTGGCGACCAGGATGCAATCCTACCTCCCACTTCCTCCCAGGCAGCCCAGCCTTCCCGCTCACCTCCAGCCGCTCCTCCAGGTAGTCCCGAACATCTCTCATGTGAGCCTCGTACGCCTCGCAGTTCTGGATCACCAGCTCAGCGGCCTGGGGACAAACGTGGCGGGGTGGGGAGCCCATCCAGCTAGGCAGCATGGTGGGTGGAAAGACGGCGTGGCCTCGGACAGCACAGTGCCACCTCGGGAAGCAGCACAGGTGCATCACAGTATTCAGGTAGGGACAGCACCAGGGGTGTGACAAGTGCCAGAGGGGTCACCTGCCCTTCCTGACAGCTCTAGGTCCTGGGGACCCTGGGAAGGAACAGTGAGGCCTCAGGTGACAGGTTCCTGGCGCCCAGCTTTGGTCCTGGCCCAGTCCTGGCTGCTGTGGGCATTTGGGAGGAATGAGCCAGGAGCCCTGTCTCTCTGTGTCACCTCAATACCAACCCAGAGGGAGCAAAGCAGCAGGGGAGGGGTCAGGGGCAGCAAGGCTACTCTGCCACAAAGCAGAGCCTAGCAAGCATGGGGGGGCACCCCTGCTTCCTGCCACAAAACCCCATCTGCCTCAGACTCCACTGCAGCCTGGGTACTTCCTGGGCAGGCAGGGAGCAACAGAGAACAGACCCCAGGCAGAGTCGGCAGCAAGAGTCGCACTCAAGAAGGCCTCGCAGCCCACAGGTCACTGGGGGAGGGCTAGTTGGAGGGGTCACACCTGCAGGCGGGCAGGCTGTCCCCCAGAAAAGACAGAGCCAACAGCTTTTTCCTGGCAGGTGCCACATGCATGCATTCTGTGCTGTAGATTCCAACACATGCCCTTCTCCAGGCAATAAACACGACGCCAGGGGGCTCCTGGGTGCCCGCTGCAGCCACCAAAGGGCCCCACGGCTTACCTTCCCAAGGCCAGCAATCATTGGGGTGTTCTCTGTCCTGTGGGAAACAAGGATGGAGTGAGAGTGAACAAGGGTGTCAGCAAGGAGTCCTGGGGACCAAACATGACCGTATCAAACAGGGACAGTCACCCTGTCCCTCTGACGTGCGCCACACAGGTGCCTCGATGGTGCCCCAAATCCACACCGTCTGTGCCTAGCTTCTCCTCCTGGCCCGATGTTCCACATGCTAGCAGGTCTTTCCGAACGTCCCCCACCTGTCATGCACCCGGGGAACTCCTCTGGATGGTCCCTAGAATGTCACACAGGAGGGAGCGAGGGTCCCTCCTGCCATGGGCTGGGTGGGTATTAGCCACTCTTATGAGCCATACAAGATCGCCCTGACTTCAGCACCGGCCTGCGCTTACTGAACTCAAGTCCTGCCTGCAGCTGGCTCGGCAGGGTCAGACCCAAGGAGCCGGCAGGCCTGGCAGGCCTGCACTCACTGGCTAGCCTCGGAGCGTCCCCGTACGTCCATCCCTTGCAAGTTTGCACAGAGACAACCACATGGATGACTGGGGGCAGTTTTGTCTTTTCTTCTCACCCGAGTTCCTAGCTTTTCCTTCTCTTGCCTTACCAAGTTGACTAGGAGACCCCAGCACCACACTGAGGTGGACCCCCTTCTCTTGTTCCGTAGAGTTAAGACTGCAGTGTGCAGTCTTGGCCTATTCCTCCGAGAATTTCACAGGAAATGCTGGCTTTTCCTTAGGAAATACGTGCCACTTGTTACTCATCAGCCTTCTAATGTGGAAGGACATAAAATGACCTCTACAAAACAGATTTACGTCAGGGCGACAGAGATCTTCCACCCGCCGGTGCACTCCCCAGATGGCCGTGTCAACCAGGGAGCTCCATCCAGGTCGTCCAGCGGGCGGCCACCTTCAGCTGCCCTCTGACATCTGGGGTGGGAGGCTGCTGGCATCATGGGAAGCAGGCTTCACCCACTGTCCCAGAAAGCCTGTGCCTGACTTTTCACTGGAATATGTTCCACTAGACCATGCCACAGTTCTTTTTCTGGATTCTGAGTCTTGCCAAAGGTTTCTGCATCCAAACTCAAGGGATGGTGTCCTTGGCTTTGGTCTTGGGCACCGTCAGCTTCCTTCCTCCTGCATTTGCTGAAAGGGTGCGTCCAGAATGCTGCTAACTCCCCTGTCAGTCTTGCCAGTGGTCCGTCATGTCAGTTATCAGAGGCCCAGCTCTCACGGTTTTTTTTTCTCCCCTTGAGTCTGTGTTGAAGTTCACCGAGTTCTGCTCTTTCTTCCTGTTTCCATGGAGGTCGCTCGGTGCCTTCCCAGGTCCTGCAGGTGGAGGCCTGGCTGACTGCCAGCACCCAGCATCCTAACCCTGCTGCGGGAGCGCTGCCCGTGGCTGCTGCTGCGCTCTGTGGTCAGCTCGGTGCACTGGACCCATACTACTTAGAAGTGAGCCGCTTCTTTCCAAGTGCCTGGAAATTTTCCTATTCTTTTCCTATTACTCTTATGTCCATTCTATGGTGGCCAAAGAAAGCATACTATATGATTTCAATTTAAAAATTTTAAATAAATTTTATTCAGCTGAAAGGCACAGGGGCCGGGCTGGAGATGTCTTCATGATGACTGCAGCAGGCAGGGCTTGGCCAAGTCAAAGCCAGGGGCAGAACAACCCCGGCCTCTCACATGGCAGGTGGGTTCTAGGCACTGCAGCTGACGCCTGCTGCCTCCCAGGGTGGCCATTAGCAGGAAACCAAGGCAGACGCCAAGGGCGGGGACTCAAACCTGCAGGTAACCCAAGCAGTGATGTCACTACCAAGCCACAACTACCCCTGCAAACCTTCAAAACTGCCTCATATAATGAGTTTGATCTTTGATGTTCCTGTTACATGCCATCCTTCATTCACCTCTAGAACCACATCAGATACCGTGAGAAAGTCAAGAGGTGAGCCAGTGTTGTCACCTAGTAAGCCAAGGTGCCATTTTCCACAGCACAGGCTGGCTAAGATGCCGTTTGCCATGGGGGCATTCCACAGCACAGGCTGGCCAAGGTGCCGTTTTCCAGGGGGCATTCCACAGCACAGGCTGGCTAAGATGCCGTTTTCCACAGGGCATTCCACAGCAGAGGCTGGCCAAGGTGCCATTTGCCATGGGGGCATTCCACAGCAGAGGCTGGCCAAGGTGCCGTTTTCCAGGGGGCATTCCACAGCAGAGGCTGGCCAAGGTGCCATTTGCCGTGGGGGCATTCCACAGCAGAGGCTGGCCAAGGTGCCATTTGCCGTGGGGGCATTCCACAGCAGAGGCTGGCCAAGGTGCCATTTGCCGTGGGGGCATTCCACAGCAGAGGCTGGCCAAGGTGCCATTTGCCGTGGGGGCATTCCACAGCACAGGCTGGCTAAGATGCCGTTTTCCACAGGGCATTCCACAGCACAGGCTGGCCAAGGTGCCATTTGCCGTGGGGGCATTCCACAGCAGAGGCTGGCCAAGGTGCCGTTTTCCATGGGGGCATTCCACAGCAGAGGCTGGCCAAGGTGCCGTTTTCTACAGGGCATTCCACAGCAGAGGCTGGCCAAGGTGCCGTTTTCCACAGGGCATTCCACAGCAGAGGCTGGCCAAGGTGCCGTTTTCCAGGGGGCATTCCACAGCAGAGGCTCCCTCAGACCCCAATGCTCTGCCTCTGCTCCAGCACTGCTGGGAGGGCAGCGAAAGGCAGCCCACGTGGGCCTTACCACTTGCTGGGCAATGGTGTCACAGTCCCAGGCCATCTGGGCTGAACTGTCAGAGGGTGGAAGATCTGCCTCCCTCTCCCTTTGTCTCTTTCCACCACTCTTCCTTTCAAATAAATAAATATTTTTTAAAAAATGAAGAGAAGGAATGCATATTATCTTTGGTAGAAAATTTGGTTTTCCCCTCATCTAAGAATATCTTGACTTGCCCTTCATGCCCAAGGGCTACATTTGCTGGGCATGGGACTCTGGCTGGACAATTTTCTTCTGGTCTCTGATTTCTGATGAGCTCACTGTCACTCAAACTGCTTCCCCAGTGACGTGGCATCTCTTCCTATTGTTCATTATTAGAAGCTTAGTTCTACGTCTTCGGCAAGGCTTTTGCCGGGGAGGCGGGGTTGTGTTTTGGGGTTTGCTCAGCCCTGTCCTCGGTATTCTCCCCTCCCCTCCGCGGCTGCCGGGAGCTGCACCCTTCTGCCTCAGCCTTCCTCTCCCTGACTCAGTCCTCCTGCTGTGCTGACTGAGTTGTTTGTTTTGTTACTGTACTTTTTAGTTCGAACATTTCCATTCGGTTCTTTACATGTTACCTCTAACCTGCCTGCAGTGTGTTCCTGATTCACCACTTGAGTGTTTTTAGTCTCTTGTAACGTGTTTGTCACACAGCTCTGACACCTTTAATATCTCAGTGCAGTCGCGTTTTGCTTTCTTCACTCCACTTGCCATCTTCACAGCCTTTGGTCTAAGCTTCGTGTTTGGGGTTTTCTGATGCTGTGGTGGCGTGGGGTGTGAGCCTCCTCACCACTGCCCAGTGAGAGAACCAGCACAGGTGCCTTCCTTGCCGCTTAGGCCCGGGCAAGGGCGTGTCTGCATGGGGCTCCCAGCAGCACCGGCTGGCAGGGGTGACATGGCCCTACTCTGCCCCGACACCTGCTGGGCTGTGCGGCTGCTGGTTACAGCACAGGAGTCGGGAGTTCCTACTTGGCCTGTGCTGCCGTGGAGGGGCCATGGTGTGGCTTCCTCTGGGGCCGCAAAGAGCACAGCAGGTTGGCCTCTACCTGGCCCCGCTCGCCAAGCTGTTCCTTTGCTGGCCTGCTGCAGTGGAGAGCAGCCGTGAGAGGGGCCGGCTTCCTCAGCGCTAAGTGTGGGACACAAGGTACGAGAGACTTCAGGGAGCTGCCCGCTGATCTTACTTCTGCTCCTTACTGTGAAGTTTCTGGCAAACACTGGCATGCGTGCTCAGTTCCTGGTGGACACAGGAGCAGCAGGAAGCCAGGGCGCTCCTCCGTGGCTCCACTGCTCCCCGCAGCACAGCTTATCCAGCCCTGAAAGGTCCAGCAGCGTCTAGTCAGCAGGCTGGGCCAAAACGACCAGTGGAGCCAAGTGCTTTGAAGCCGCTTCAAGCGTCAGCCTGCCCACACTGCTCTGCACTGTCCTAGGCGGCCCAGGTGTAGGGGTCCGTCAGCCAAGCCTGAGGGGTCACAGTGCTTCCGGGAGGTGGCAGGGACAGCACAGGTTGTGTTCAGATGTTGCTGCTCTATGGGCAAAGGGCACGGCCAGCACGTCAGAGACCGTGAACTTTACGTTACCCTGGCCTGAAATTCCGCTCTTGTCCACCTCCGAACAGCATCGGGTACAGAGGGGTGAGGTCACCGAGCCCTCGAACATACAGTGCACCAATCCTGGGGCCATAGAACTGGAAGGGAAAGTCAGGCATTTACTCCAAGGAAGCTTGCAGCAAGCTGGTCTGCACACGAGCCAAGTGCCCAGAGTGCAGATAGCTGAGGCCAGCATATGGTCCTGGGGTGGCATGGGACCCCAGGCCATGCTGTCCGTCACTGCTCCTGACATCCCACGTGCACGGCAGAGCCCTGGCCCGAGACAGGGACAGCTGCTGGGCTCAGTCCCCAGCTCTGTAGTGAGCACAGGCCCCAGCACAGGATGCAGTGGACTGCGTAAATGGGGAGGAGTTCAAAGCGAGGCGTTTCTCACAGGTGGGTCTGAGGTTCAGCTGCCGGGGTGTGAACTTTGAACTGCGCCAGGAGTGGCCACACAGGCTCCTCGGGCAGCCAGCTGGCATCGGCTCCTCGGACAGGGTACTAATGACAGGGTGCTCATGACAGCTGCTGCCAGGGTCAGTGCAGCAGCACTCCCGCCATGGGCCTCCATGGCTTTCCCCGGCTCCCCTGTGCCCCGAGAGGACATGCTCCCCAGGCCTGTACCCCGAGAGCACATGCTCCTCTAGCCTGTACCCCGAGAGCACATGCTCCCCAGGCCTGTACCCTGAGAGGACATGCTCCCCAGGCCTGTACCCCGAGAGGACATGCTCCCCAGGCCTGTACCCCGAGAGCACATGCTCCTCTAGCCTGTACCCCGAGAGCACATGCTCCCCAGGCCTGTACCCTGAGAGGACATGCTCCTCTAGCCTGTACCCCGAGAGGACATGCTCCCCAGGCCTGTACCCTGAGAGCACATGCTCCTCTAGCCTGTACCCCGAGAGGACATGCTCCCCAGGCCTGTACCCCGAGAGCACATGCTCCCCAGGCCTGTACCCCGAGAGGACATGCTCCCCAGGCCTGTACCCCGAGAGGACATGCTCCCCAGGCCTGTACCCCGAGAGGACATGCTCCCCAGGCCTGTACCCCGAGAGGACATGCTCCTCTAGCCTGTACCCCGAGAGGACATGCTCCCCTGTACCCCGAGAGGACATGCTCCTCTAGCCTGTACCCTGAGAGGACATGCTCCCCTGTACCCCGAGAGCACATGCTCCCCCAGGCCTGTACCCCGAGAGCACATGCTCCCCCAGGCCTGTACCCCGAGAGCACATGCTCCCCCAGGCCTGTACCCTGAGAGGACATGCTCCCCAGGCCTGTACCCCGAGAGCACATGCTCCTCTAGCCTGTACCCAAGAAGGCATGCTCACCATGTATAGGGAAGCCACATTTTCCTGGGCTGCACATGTGCCCTGGGTCTTGGCACACATCCCCTGACTCACTACTGCCTGCATGGCCATGCCCTCCGGCCCTGCGGCCCCCATGGCCCTCCATACCCCCTAATCTATCCTGTCTGGGTCGGGTTGCCCCCACTGTGCCATCGAGCCACTCATTATGTGGCACTGAGCCACTGCTGGCTCCTGCTTGTGAAGCCCAGGAGTGGGGCCTGTGGTTGGGGGTGGCAGCCGGCACCCGGGCCCTGGATCCATGGGAGAAGCAGAGGCTCAGCGGGCTCTGCTCGAGGGGCCAGGCGTCTCCCTGTGGGCAGAAGTGACCTCTGCAGACCTACCTTGTGGCCCACGATGGTCAGGAAGTCCACTCCCAGCTCGTCCACATCCACACGCCTCTTCCCCAGCGCCTGGGCAGCATCCGTATGCAGGAGGACACGGAGCAGCCCTGAGGCAGTCCGCTTCTGGTTCAGGGCCCGGACACGCTGGCTGATCTCAGGGACGGGCTGAAGAGAGAGGAAACATGGCTGACCACTGCACTGTGATCCGACAGACAGCAGGAAGCGCTGGGGAGGGAGGAGAAGGGGCAGGGACCCTCCAACCTGGACAGGTATGTGGGTGGGTGGGCGGGGCAGGGACCCCCAGCATGGACAGGGGTATGTGTGGGGGGCGGGGCAGGGACCCTCCAGCCTGGACAGGGGTGTGTGGGGAGTGGGGCAGGGACCCCCCAGTCTGGACAGGGGTGTGTGTGTGTGTAGGCGGGGCAGGGAACCCCCCAGCATGGACAGGGGTGTGTGTGTGTGGGCGGGGCAGGGACCCCCTCCAGCATGGACAGGGGTGTGTGTGTGTGGGGGCGGGGAAGGGACCCCCCAGCATGGATGGTGTGTGTGTGTGTGTAGGCGGGGCAGGGACCCCCCCAGCCTGGACAAGGGTGTGTGTGGGGGGCGGGATAGGGACCCCCCCAGCATGGACAGGGGTGTGTGTGGGCGGGGCAGGGAACCCCCCAGCATGGACGGGGGGGGTGTGTGTGTGGGCAGGGCAGGGAACCCCCCAGCATGGACAGGGGTGTGTGTGGGGAGCGGGGCAGGGACCCCCTCCAGCCTGGACAGGTATGTCGGTGGGGGGGCGGGGCAGGGACCCCCAGCATGGACAGGGGTGTGTGTGTGTGGGCGGGGCAGGGAACCCTCCAGCCTGGACAGGTATGTCGGTGGGTGGGCGGGGCGGGGACCCCCAGCATGGACAGGGGTGTGTGTGTGTGTAGGCGTGGCAGGGACCCTCCCAGCCTGGACAGGTATGTGGGTGGGTAGGGCAGGGACCCCTCAGCACCTGCGCACTTGACAGCCCGGCAGGTACTCACCATGATGACTCCGGTCTCGTTGTTGGCCAGCATGATGGTCACAAGGCATGTGGTGGGGCGGACAGCCGCCAGGACATCATCTACGTCCACCCGCCCATTCACCTTGGACACCGGGACAAAGGTGACCTCTGAGACACAGAAGACAGTACTAGGTCAACGCCCAAGGCTCACTCAGCCATTGCTTGCTGGCAAAGCGGCAGCGCCTACTCGGCCTGTGGTGGGTCGGGAGCGCCTGGGCTCAGTACCCTGCTAGTCCGCTCCTGCTAGTCGCCACAGGTGGTCCTCCCACCCATGCGGGAGACAGGGGCTGAGCTCTCAGCTGCAGGCTTTGGGCTGGTGAGCGGCCACTGTGCGCATGCAGCCAATCAGCAGACAGGAGCAGTCTCTGATGATTACTCAATTAAAAAAATTATGTTCAAAGTTGAGAGAACTGTAAAGGGGAAGGAACTGCCCTCACATCACCCCGGAAGTACTCTGTCAGCTGCTCCCACGCGGTGCTTGCTCAGAGCAGCTGCGGGTGGTGAGTTTGCCCTTCTGTGCTCAGGAACCCACTGGGAAGTGACAGACCAGGGAGCACCACGTGGGTCCACTGGGAGCTGGGCACCAAGCTGACGTGGGCACCAAGCTGACCTATCACATGCCTGGTGTGGAACAGGCACTTGTGGACAGGTGAAGTTCAAGGTCCCACCTTCCCTCCAGGTAAGAAGGAAGCTGTTGTTTGGGGTCGGCAGGGTGACCGTGCTTCGAGAAGCTGCAGAAAGCACGAGGGCAATGTGTCAGCCACGTGGCACCCCTGGGACTGAAAGGCCACCAGAGTTCTTCATGAGGGCCATAGAAGTGAGGGACACTCAGGCCAAGCTTAGGACACCCACAGTGCCCAGGGACAGGGTGGTTGGCTTGCTCCAAAGGGGCACTCAGAGGCAGCTGAGGACTGTAGCAGCTGGGTTCCTCCAGCTCCGGCCTGGCCCTGCTGCTGTGGGAACGGAAGAAGTGGACCCATTGAGGGGAGCTCTTCCCTCTCTTCCTATTGCTCTAACAAATAAAAATAGATGTATACACGTATACATAAGTTTACAAAGGTTAAAACTGAAAATCTACACACTTTCCAAGAAGTGCACAATGACCAATAGGAAGACTTCACTGCAGGAGGGCAATGGATCAGAACTCAAGAAGCTTCAGACATACTGACGGAGATCTAATCCCAATATCAGGGAAACAGGAGGAAAGTCAAAGACCCACAGAGAAATGTGGGACTAAATGAAGTACCAGCACACACAATGGGCACAGTGGAAGCAGAGGCTAGAGCGAGAGCAGGCGGAAGGGCTTCCACACTTGATGGGACTCACAAATGGACACATGCAAGAGTTGAACAGCCTCTAGGTAAGAAAACATAGACATACTTCACACACATAACAGCAGAAATGTTGAAATATAAAGTACCTTTTCTAAAAGAAAGAAAAAAGATGTATCTATTTTTATTGGAAAGGCGGATCTACAGAGAGAAACAGAGACAGAAAGATCTTCTGTCCGCTGGTTCACTCCCCAACTGGTCACAATGGTTGGAGCTGAGCTGATCTGAAGCCAGGAGCCAGGAGCCTCTTCCTGGTCTCCTTGTGGGTGCAGGGTCCCAAGGCTTTGGGCCGTCCTCTACTGCTCTCCTAGGCCACAAGCAGGGAGCCGGATGGGATGTGGAGTATCTGGGACATGAACCAGCACGCATATGCGATCCCAGTGCATGCAAGGTAAGGATTTAGCCACTGAACCATCACGCAAGACCCAAGAGAAGTATCCTAAAAGCGAGAAAAATGACTTGGCTGTGCAGAGAGCCCTGATGAGATTAACAGTTGACTTCTTATCAAAACAATCGGGGCTAGAAGGCAAAATGATGAAAAAGCCAAGCAATAACTGCTTTAAATTAACTTAAAAATCTGTGTGTGTATGTGTGTGTGTGATGGTGTGTGGGTGCATGTGTGCCAGAGAGAGAGAGAGAGATTCTTACTCCCACTGTTGGTCCCCTCCTCAGATATCCACAACAGATGAAGCCAGGCTTGGGAGCTAGAAGCTCAATGCAGCACTCCCACGTGGCTTCCGGAAGCCACCACTGCTGCCCTGGGCCGCAGCAGGGCCAAGTGGCGGCCAGGACCTCGGGCCAGGGATGGACCCAGGGGTTTGGAGGTGGCGATGGGTACTTTCCCTGACAACTCAGCACCAGGCTGGATGTCACTCCCCAAGCAACAACTTCACAGCCAACCAAGTTATCTTTCAAAACCAAAGGCAAAAAAGAGACGTGGCATGTCTTACAAGAAACACAAAAGCAGGTCCTTCAGGTTGACAAGCAAGTGAGCCCAGGCATAAAACACCTGCCTGCGTAGACTCCTTCAGAGAACTGAAACTAAGTAGTAACGGTGACAATGGACAGTTGGGTGTGTGACACGCAAGAATGCGATATGCACAACACAACCACAAACACAACGAAGGCCAGGAAACAGAGTGTGTGGGAGGAAAGCTGACGTAAATCTGCAGGGGGTACTGAAAAGGTGACACGTATTTAACGTCCTGGAGCACCCACTGAGCAAATGGCTAAAACTGACACAGTGAAAAGACCACTCACAGAACTGAACGGAAACATGAGCGGCAAAGCAGAAACGGGAAGCAACACCCAGGAGCACGGAGCGTGGGATCTGTGAGACACAGGGTAGGTGTGAACACAGCTTTGGCAGTAGCACCACTGAGGGTGAAGGAAGGATACAGTGCAGAGGGGTTAAGCAGACCAGACCATCACTAACCGGCTGTCTGCTGTCCACAGGAGACACATGCCATGTTCTGGCTAACTAGCTCCCCCTTTGGTCCAGCTGGCAGCAAGCATGAGCCTTAGACCCCACTTGATGTTCAAGCACGTATTCAGCAGTGTCTCATGGGCAGGTCATGCTATAGCCCAGATACGACCAGGTCAGACGACCAGCTACCAGGACGGGCACCCAGAGGCCAGGCTTCCCCGAGGTTACACTGTGTCGTCTGGTGTCGGACAGTTCAGGACAGCTGTGCCTGTGCAGGGGGAGGGGCGTCTCCTGTGAATCCACAGGCATTCTGGCTGTCCTGAGTGGGCCTTGTGACTGTCGTGCCCTGTACAGCCACATTATGTCTCCCAGAAGATGCAACAGACACCACAGTTCAAAGTGGAAGCCGGGCATCAGCACGACCCCTCCAGCAGCAACCCCTGGATGACCAGAACAGCAACACCAATATCAGACAGGATGGACTTATGACACGTGCTACCAGAAAGAGGAACACGCTCCAAAGACAACGGCCAGTCATCCAGGTCACAGAACAAACACAAACATGCGTGCACCCCGGACTGAGCTCCACAATGGAAGAAGCAAACACCGACAGATGCGCACACAGGAGAAACCAGCCAAGCCGGATGATGCAAAGCCTCACTTTGCAACACGACTGCAACACTGCACAGAACGCTAACAGTGGGACAGAAGGCTTGGACAGCTGTATCAAACGACTGCACCTAACAGTGTTGAGAAACTCCACTCAGGGTCAGCGTGGTGGCCCAGGTGGCTAGTCCTCTAGCAGCCTGTTTGCTGCTCCGCTTGCCATCCAGCTCCCTGCCTGTGGCCTGGGAAAGCAGCTGAGGCCGGTCCAAAGCCTTGGGACCCTGCTCTCATGTGGGAGACCTGAAAGAGGCTCAGCTGGGAGGAGGCTCCTGGAAGAGGCTCAGCTGGGAGGAGTGTGACAACCACAGCTAACATCATGCCCACCAATCACGGGACAAGCACCCTGAGGGAGGGAGCAGGGCCAGGGCAGACCCAGCCAGGCCACCAGGAAACCAAGTTACAGGAACACAAACCAAGACACCATCTCTCATAGACAGACTCCCGGGGAGCCCACCAGAAAGCCATCAGAACTCAGTGAGGTCAGCGAGGCCGCAACGCTTCACTCAGCAACTGGCCGGCATTTCTGTACGTTAGCAGCAAGCAACTCAGAAGAGAAATTCCACCTACAATATCATCCAGAGAATTAAATACAGGCGACACATTTAATGAGTACAAAATTTCAGCTGGAAGAGCACACAGAACATGGGAGAAATTACAGTAAATTCAAAGTGTCACATGTCACGGGAGGAAAGACCCGACGTGGTTACGACGACCAGGGAGGCCAGATTAGGTCAGACTCAACGTAATCCTTATCAAATTCCTAGCGGGAGTTTTTGGGCTTTGATTTGCTTTCTGGCACTAACAAGTAAATCCTATAATTCCTTTGGGAATTCAAGGAGACCTAGAACAGCCAAAACAATTTTGAAAACAGAGAACAAATTTAGAGGATTTGCATTTTCTGATTTCAAAACTCACTACAAAGCTCCTATCAAAAGATAGCTTAGTGTGAACGTAAGGACACGACAGAATTAGGGGTGCAGAAATGAACCATCTCCTCCATCACCACTGGTCTTTCACGCAGGTGCAAGGCCACTCGCGGGGGTGCTGGGACCCCTGGATGCCCACATGCCCATGGCCATTCACACAGGTGCAAGGCCACTCGCGGGGGTGCTGGGACCCCTGGATGCCCACATGTTCATGGCTGTTCACACAGGTGCAAGGCCACGCATGGGGGTGCTGGGACCCCACATGCCCAAGATAAACCTGGGCTCCTGCCTCCTAGCATAGGGTACAGAAAACTAACTCCAAGCATGCCAGAGAGCTAAGACTGAAAGAGAGTCTAACAAGAAAACACACAAATAAATCTTCATGGCCTGCAGTAGGCCAAGTTTCCTACAAACAATGCAAAGAACTAGAAAAACTAACAATATGCTTCATCAGAAATTTGTTCATCAAGGCATGCTACAGAGAAAGAAAACTCACGGAATGGGAGAAAGTATTTGTAAATGACGCATCTGGTGTGTCAAGCACACACAAAAGGAACTCTCAGAACTGAAAAATAACAGAGGAGTAACACCATTTTCATATACAAGGGTGTTAGAACAGACATTCCTACAAAGACAACGCATGAGTAATTGGTCAATAAGTATGTGAAAAGACGCCTGATGCTATTAGAAAGAAAATGAAAACTAAAATGATGAGATATCATTTTATACCCATGAGAAGGGTTATAATAATAATAATAAAAACAGATAAAAAAACATTGGTGAGGGGCTGGTGTGGTGGCAAGCTGCCTCCTGTGACGCTGGCATCCCATTTGGGCACCGGTTCACGCCCTGGCCACTCCATTTAGGATCCTATTCCCTGCTTGTGTATCTGGGAAAGCAGTGGATGTTCCCTTCCGGGAGACCCAGGAGAAGCTCCTGGCTGCTACCGCGGCCCAGTGCCAGGCGTTGCAACCATCTGGGGACGGAACCAGTGGATGAAGGGTCTCTCCCTCTCAATGTTTCTCCCTCTACCCTTGTAATTTTGCGTTTAAAATAAATAAATCTTAAAAAATGAGGTTGAAACCACTGAGAACATGTAACGGCTCAGCCTGCAGAACAAGGCCTGGGCCCAGCACAGCCACCTCACACGTCATCAAACCAAGTTCCACGGCCCTGCTGCTCCAACCCCGGACTTCAGCTGCAGCCAAATGAAAACTCATGGTAACACCAGCAACGCAGTGCTCACAACCAGCCAGTCCTGCCATCCAGGGCACGGGAGCCAGCTAAGCTCCCACGGACAAACGTGACGGGTACACACCGTGAGGGAGGTCCCCCACGAGCGAGACCTGGGTCAACAGCTGCCCACAGGGCCCCTGCGGCCACTCACCGGCCATTTGCTCCTCCGCCAGGTGCCGCAGGGGCAGACAGATGGAGTCATGCTCCACCGTGCACGTGATCAGGTGGGGCCTGGCTCCCTCTGCTGGGCTGGGCCGCTCCGCCGAGTCTCCTGGGGAGGCTGCGTTTTCATGGAAGGTTTTTACGGCAGAATGGATCACTAAATTATTTGACTGCAAGGAAATAACAAAAAAAGCAGTTCTAATGGCTGCAAGGGAACCTTTTTTCCTTTTGTAGCCCACAATAACTGAACAAGCAAACAAAACCTCCAAGAAATTCAACTGCTTGAGTTGCACCTTTGGAAAAGCGGAGCTATAAAAACTTCGAGGCACTCACACTTTCTGAGGGCTGAGAATTCATGCCCAGGCCATGACGTCTGCTTTGTCACAAAGCAGCAGTATAATGTTTCAAATGCTATAAATCTATCAAAATAGAGTAGTTCACTCAGTCCCCCGTGGCCGGGGGTGCCCAATGTCCAGGAGGGGCTCCTGGGGCGTCCACCACAAGAGCCTGGGACTCCGTCACGGTGTCCTAAGTCTGGCTTTTCACTGCTACTTCCTATGTAAGCAGTCCTGACTCCACACCCTCTGACCTCCAAGAGAACAGAACTAAACGGAACACACCCTGCAGTGGAGCTCTGTTGGGTGCTGTGTGTCCCAGGCTGGGTCATGCACAGTCATGGCTGGGCCCCCAGGCTGGGTGACGCACACACAGTCAGGCCCCTGGGCTGGGTGACAGATGCGAACAGCCAGGCACCGCCCAAAGACTCTACAAGCAGCCGCCAGTCCCCGCGCCCCCAGGGCACCTGGGCAAGCTCAGGAGTTTCTTCCAGATCTGCAAGGCATGAACTCAAACGAGAAAGATGGCCAGTGACAGACCCTGCACACTCCATCTAAAATGGAACCATGTCCCCCCCAGGCCACAAGACTCCGGTGCCTGGCTCCAGACCACAACAGGGACTGGATAGCAGGCTGGCTTTAACTGGAGGGCCACCGGGAGGTGACGCAGTCCTGGAGCCAAGGTCACATCGCACCAAGCACCGTGGCCCTGCCTGGCACACCTCCAGCGTGTGTGTGTGCACAAACAGCAGCCGTTGATCCTGCAGCACTGGAGACCGGAAGCACTGTGCCCACCTCGGAGGGTGCTCTCTCTTTGAAAGTAGAAACAGCTGCTTCTTCCTAACTCCTGGTGCTGCCCAGCAGCCCTCGGCTCCGCCCTGTGCTCCCTTGGCCCTCCCTGTGCCATAGCTCGTCATCCTGAGCCGAGACCTTCACTTGGGGAGCAGAGGTTTGTCCGTGTTGTGCACAGCACCATGTGGCAGCACAGTGCACGACTCGCCACCTGGAATCTAGGAGGAACACCTGAGCTGCCTTGGTAGCTTGCCAGTTGCCAATGACATTGCCGCCCCCACGCCCTGGACACTGTCTTGTCCTCCAGGGAGCTGTGGCTTCAGCCCTGGGACTGGGCCCGCTGTTTCAGAGTCTGGCCCGGTTTGCCCCCACAGCTGTGTCAACAGCAGTTAGCGCCTGGCGGCCTGGATTCCCCTTTCCCACTGTGACGGCCGTGCCCGGGGACCTGCTGCTCCCAGCCCAGGGCCCCGGAGTAGGCTGAGGCACTTGGCTTTTCTCCCGAAGCATGCATTCGGTTTCCCGTCCGTATCTCGGGCAGGCTGTCCGCTTTGGGAAGAGCCGTGGGAGCTGTCAGCAGCTGCCTCTCCCCAGCACAGGTCCCTGGGGCCCAGGGTGTTGCAGCATCTTCGGCTGCCCTCCTGCCGGTCAGCTTTCTTCTTAAGCTCTTGTGACAGAACCCGTCATTGTGTCCTTCCTGGCTCCACTCCGTTCTCACAGAGCCACCACTCCAACACGAGAGGACCACCCTGCTGCCGAAAAGCCTGAAGCCCACCCTCCACAGCGCGGCTTCCTCTACCCGAGCCACCGCCGTGAGCTCTGAGGCACCCGGCTGGCCCCTTCTCCTCAGGACCACTCGGCTGTCCCCACACCACCCGAGGAGACCCCGCCCCCTGTGCCACATGAGGACCTTACGGTCGCCAAAGGCAGGGAAAGTGACAGCCTTGCCCAACCCCAGGTTCATGTCCCAGCACCCTCAGCACAGGACAAGGGTCCAGACAGGCATGGCCCCTGTCCCCCCAGCCCAGAGCCCCCGCTGAAGTAGCAGGACTTCCTGCAGACTTGACTGTGCAGTCAAGTCCCCCCACTAGGTGCAGCTTCATTGAGCTCTGGCCTTCTGCATTTCCACAGAAGTTACTTGGGAGCCTCCACAGGTGCTGCGACTCATGTTAGGTTTCCACACGAAGCTCAGCTGATGTGGGCACAAGAATCGTGGTGCCCACTGAGCAGAAAGTTGGCTGCACTCCAGTTTTCCAGTCAGAACTGGGTAAGCCGAGCCTACTAAGATGCCCAGGTGCTGGCTGCTGTTGCTGCTGGCAGTCTCAGGGCACGAGCGAGACTCGTTCTTTCCTGGCAAATCGCTGCTGCAGGCTCCCACCTCGGCATCGTCTCCTGTGTCACTGACGGGTTCTCTGGAGTGCACGCCCCGTGAACTTTCCGTAAAGCACCAACGCCTTCTCACTCTTTCCGTCGAGCGTCCCCACAACTCCGAGGCTTGTTCCTATTTCAACTCTCATGGAACCAGGTCACTTTGTCAGAGGCTCCTCTCTCACCAAAGCCTCCTCCGTCAGATCCTGTTCAGACGTGCCTACAAGTTCGCATGAGTTTATTTTGGAGCAAAAAGACCTCAAAATCCATGCATTTTTCACATTTTGAATACAACTCATAATGGCTAATTATCAAGCCAGTTTACAACACAGCAGGACCAAGAACTAGTATTTTAAAAAGAAAGAAAGTTCCAGCACACGACCCTCCACACACACGATTCCGACTGAGCCTTACCTCGGTTCCCCCGGAGGTGAAGATCAGCTCCTGAGGCTTCCCTCCGATCATCTTGGCCAGGTTCTCTCGTGCTGCACTGATAATCTCCTTGGCCTTCCTGCCTTGAGGACCAAGGTGGAAATTCGTTACTGTGGCTGCGAGTGAGACCACTGCAACAAGCAAACGGAGCACGCGGAGCAGGAGGGCCGAGCGGGCACTTTGATACAAACGTAACAGAATGTTACGGCCTCCAGTCGCCCTCACAGGGCAGGAAGAGGTGGTAACCAGCGGACTGTGAGACCTGCTGGGAACCAGAAACAAGTTTGGAGGGGTGCCTGGGGACCCCAAGTTCCCTAAGCCGTGGCTTATTCTTACCCGTGCCAGGAGAGGGGGAAGCTGTGGCCATCTGCCTGGCTTCCCGTTCAGCAAGGCGGGAGAAGGAAGGGGTGGGGCATATGCTTAAGAGCAAGCTGCAAGACAACAGAAACAAGCAAAGGTGGGCACCAAGTCCAGCTCCGCACTGCGCACAAGCACTGAGCCCCAGGGGCTCCCGCGGGGCGGTGGGGCACAGCAGCCCACGGGCACCACGCTGTGTGAGGCGGGTTCACAGCTCAGCAGTGCTGCTTACCTATACCATAAAGGCCATTACAAAGAGCAGGCTAGGGCTGGTTCAGGGCATGGCAGTTAAGCAAGGAGCTGGACAGCATGCAGTTCAAGTCCTGGCCACTCTAGTTCCAGTCCAGCTCCCTGCTGGTGCATCTGGGAACGCAGTGTTGACTGACTAAGGGTCTGGACACGCGTGGGAGACCCAGGTAGAGTTACAGACCCTAGCTTCAGTCTAGCCAAGTCCCAACATTACAGAGTTGAGGGTGAACCGGCACACAGATCTAACTCTGCCTTTCACTTTAATAACACTTTGCTTTTAAAGAGTACGGTAGGAGCTGGTGCAGTGGCATAGTGTGTGAAGCCACCGCCTGCAGGCGCTGTGTCCCACATGAGCGCTGACTGGAGTTCCAGCTCCCTGCCAATGCGCCTGAAAATGCAGCTGGGAATTCAGACCCGAAGGTTCAGACCTGCATCCATGGGGGAGACCAGAAACAAGCTTCTGGCTCCTGGCTTCTGCAGGCCCAGCTCCAGCCAATGCATCCATTTGGGGAGTGAACCAGTGGATGGAAGATCTTTCTCTGTTTCTCTCTATAAATGCTGCCTTTCAAATAAACCAATAAATCATTTGACAGATATAAAAATCGGATGTACAGTAGTTCACGCAGCCGTTAGCACCTGCACTGTGCAGGAGAGGCTAAGCCGCCTTCACTAAGACACGTGTCAAGTGCTGGGACAACTTTGGATAAATGGGCAATGGCTCCAGCGGGCACAGATGCCCGCCCCATTTGGGATGTGACCCACAGCTGGCCCACCAGATGCAGCTCTGGGCCTCCAAGAGTCCACTGCGAAGCCATCCCGACCCCCACCAAGACATCTGTGGGTCTCCTCACAAGACAGAAAATATTCACAAGTTCCCACAGTCCCCTGCTCAGAGGCAAGTGTGGTGCTGTGTCCTCGCTGGGCTGGAGCTGCCGGTCATCCCCTCACCCAGCCTCCTTCCAGGGCCTCAGACCATTTCTAGCTGGCTCATCACTGCCTGGAATTAATTTTTTAAAAAAGATTTATTTTGGGCCCGGCGCAATGGTGCAGTGTTTAAAGGTCCTCGCCTTGCACCCCCAGGATCCCATATGGGCGCCGGTTCTAGGCCCGGCAGCCCCACTTCCCATCCAGCTCCCTGCCTGTGGCCTGGGAAAGCAGTCGAGGACGGCCCAAAGCTTTGGGAACCTGCACCTGCGTGGGAGACCTGGAAGAGGCTCCTGGCTTCGGATCGGCATAGCATCGGCCATTGCGCTCACTTGGGGAGTGAATCATCGGACGGAAGATCTTCCTCTCTGTCTCTCCTCCTCTCTGTATAACTGACTTTCCAATAAAAATAAAATAAATCTTTTTTTAAAAAAAATTTAAAAATAAATAAATAAATAAATAAATAAGTAAGTAAATAAAATAAATCTTTTTTTAAAAGATTTTTTTCCAATAAAAATAAAATAAATCTTAAAAAAAAGGATTTATTTTATTTTTATTGCAAAGTCAGTTATACAGAGAGGAGGAGAGACAGAGAGGAAGATCTTCCGTCCGATGATTCACTCCCCAAGTGAGCACAACAGCCGGTTCTGAGCCAATCTGGAGCCAGGAGCCAGGAACTTCTTCCTGGTCTCCCACACAGGTACAGGGTCCCAAGGCTTTGGGCAGTCCTCGACTGCTTTCTCAGGCCACAAGCAAGGAGCTGGATGGGAAATGGGGCTGCAGGGATTAGAACCAGTGCCATATGGGATCCCGGCATGTTCAAGGTGAGGACTTTAGCTGCTAGGCCACGGCACCGGGCCCACTGCCTGGAATTAAGACTGCATTTCCCAACTTACATTGCAATCAGGCACGGCTATGGGGCCAAGTGGCTGGGCCCCATACTGGGCCCAGTGGCTTTGTGAAGCTTCCAGAAGTATCCTTGAACGACTTGGGAGTCCCTTTCTCCCTGCCATGGGTGACTGCTGACTTGATGGCCTGGGCTGCAGCAGCCATGCTGCCCGCAGGGGAAGGAGGGGCGTGCAGTGGCTGACCACAAGGACCCTGGACCACCAGAAACAGACAAGGGGGCGCTCGGGTTTCCTGTGTTTCAGAACAACACTATGCAGTACTGTTGCTGTATCTGCTCACACACAACTTGGGGGCAACGACAGGTGTCCACAGTCGCACACAGCGCGCCTCTCCGAGAGCCATCTTCCCAGGCCACGGACAGACTCCACTGCGGGCTTCTGTCCTCCCGGACAGCACTGTCAGCTGCAGTCCTTCGCTCTCGTGGGCAGGCCACGGTCAATGCCGTGGACACCTAAAATCTTCCCACACATCCTCAATGTTTTTCCCCTCAAGGACTTCAAGCCGTAATATTGAGAAAATACCAAATTGTCCCGTCATCAAGTGATTTTCTTTCACTTCTACCTGAGTAGCAACAGAAAGTGAACCATAACTCACTTTTTACATTTTTTGTTACTGTTTGCTTTTTAAAGATCTGTTCATCTACTTGGAAGGACAGAGGGAGAGGCAGAGATCTCCCTGTGCAGGGCTGCTCCGCGTGGCTGCAGCAGCGGGGGCTGCACCAGGCCCACTCCGTCTCCACAGCACCGCAGGGTCGAGCCATGCTGCCCTGGCACACTGGGCAAAGGCGGCCAGGCAGCCCTCGGTCGCTGTCCACCCCACACAGGCCCGCCGTGTCCCTCCCCACGCGTGATTGCCCTCTACCTTCTCAGCTTTAACGGGAGGAGTTCCCATTCCCCAGGCAGGGGAGTTAGCCACAAGGCAGAGTCCAGACACTTGTCAACACAGAAGTTAATGATTGATTAGTGCAGGACCTTGCTTTTAATTATCAAGTTGTTGTGAAACTTCTAATAAGCAAACAGCTGCCCATGCGTCCTCAAACCTACACAGGCACCTAGCAATCCGGGAGCTCCTTAGCCATATTCCATCCGCAAGTTATGCTAGCTCCCCAAGACCCACAATTAGGATAGTTTATCTTACATCAAAGGAGAAAGTTGAGGCCTCAGTGTACCCTTGTCTGAGAACATGCTGGAACCTGCCAGGGGACCGCCAGCTGCAGCCAAGCACCACCCACCCAGTGCTCCACCAGCGCTAATGGACTGACAGAAACTCGGGCTGGAGCGGCACCGCAAAAGGTCATCCTCATTTTGTAACAAGGCCGAGATTACACAGGATCAAAGGTGATTTCAAAGCCTTCCTTTGCACACTGCACACGGTGTAAGGCTCCGCTGTGCTGGCGACAGGCTCTGTTGTCAAATACCCTGCCTGCAAGCCAGGGCGTTAAACATTAAGGCACAGACGGGCCCCCCACAGGCTCGGCTTAGAAACGCCAGGTGCACAGATTAAAGGAATGACCAGCAGTTCCGGTTCCGCATTTACAGCTAACCCCGGGAGGCACTTTCCCTAGGAGTCCTCGGGTCCCTGAATCCGGGCTCCCAGCCATACCTGCAGGGTAGGAGCTGCTGGGGTTGCCCCAGGCCTCCGTCATGGCCTCCGTCATGGCCTGGATGACCGCGGGGTCCAGAGGCGTGGTCGCGTTGTAATCCATGTAGACCTTCCTGCGGGTGACAACAGCAGCAGGCCGTGTGGCAGCAGGGGCGGGGACGGCGGGTGTGCACGCTGCAAGCCAGCATCGGGCTGGCAACCCAGGGTGGCAGGCCGATCCCCTGGCTGTCCGCTGCAGCGTCACCCGCAGGCGACAAGGCTCTTGGGGGATCGGACCAGTCTAGTCTGGCAGCAGTAGTGACGGTGGCACCTGAAGCTTGCATCCTGTCCTGCTTTGCTCTCCGTATGGGACAGCAAAGCTGAACTGGCCCGACGCATGCAGCGCGCCTGGGCGCGCACACGCACGGTCACCCCACTTCCCGCCCAACCCAGTGGCCGCAGTCCCGCGTGGCGCGACCACACCACCCGTCCTCTGAGCAGGTGACAGCCAAGGAACCCCGCGGGCTGGGAGCCGCCACTGAGGGTTTCTCCCCGGGAAACAAACTGCGAGCGCACCGCGCTCCCCCTGCTCCAACTCCGGCGTCCCGGGGACTCCGGCGCCTCTCCGGGCGGACCCCTAGCCCCGCCGCGCCGGAGGGCTCCCCGAGGCACCGCCGCCGGCCTGCCCCGTCCCGCCCCGCCGAGGGGCGCACCTCTCCCGCGGGCTGTCGTCGTCCGGGCGGCCGCCGGGTGGCCCCGTGGCCCCGCCGCTCCGCGTCGCGGCCGCCTCCATGGCCGCCGCCGGCCGGTCCGACCCGCGGGTGCACCGAGCGCGCGGCGGCAGCGGGCCGCGGCAGTGTCGGCGTTGCTGGGCGGCGCGCCCCGACCAATCCGCGCGCTCCGGGGAGGCGCTGGGCGAGGCGCGCAGGCTGACTGGCCGCGCGGGGGTCAGGTGACGGGCCGGGGCCGGCGGGCCTGGGGCCTGCCGATCGGGGACGGGGAAATGTGACGCTAACGGGAGCAGGCCGCGCCCGCGGGGCCTGGCACCGGGATGGCAGAGACTCCTGGGGCGCCGGGATGAACGCGAGCCTGGGGAGATGCCAGGGCCGCTGTGTGGGCCTGGCACCGGGGGTCTTCCCTCGCCCTTCCGGCGTGGCGCGCCCCAGCTCTGAGCGGTGTGTGAGGGGTTAGGCACGGCCCAGCCGCTCACCCCACACAGCTCTTACCCCAGATTTCCATATGGACAAACTGGCTTGTTGTTGTTGTTAAGATTTACTTAACATTCAAAAAGTCAGTTAGCAAGAGAGGCAGATCTTCTGTCCCCTGGTTCCCTCCCCAGATGGCGACAAGGGTCAGGGCTGATGCTGGCGGCTGCCCCTTAGCTGGCTCTCCATGGAGATGCTCTGACGCCTTGTCCTGTTGAGGTGGACTTCCAGACTAATCCCGACCGCTGCTTCTGGCTCTAAGAGAATGGAGGCACGGGGGCTGCAGCTGGCCAGGTGGGGAAAAGAGAATTTACAAGTGTTGTCAAAGAGGTCAGGGTGCAGGAGGCAGCTGAGTCCCACGGATTAATTTGGGGGCCCTGACAAATTTACAGGAGAATCATTGGGGCGTCAGGGGGCACAGGGGTGGGCATTAGAGCTGAGGCAGGAAGACAGGAAGAAGTAGAGAAAAGGCCCACGAAGTGGGAGCGGCACTGGGCACAACACTCCAGGAAAACAGAGTCACCATGTGCGCTGGCCGGAAGGGGGTACCTGACAGTGCCAACTACAGGCCGGAGAAGAAGCTGGAGGTGAGAGCACAGGTGGGTGCTGGAGGTCACACAAGGGTGCGAACAGTGGCCAGGGGAGACAGGGTGTTTACCTCCAGATGGACACAATCTGCACGGTGCTGGGGTCACACAATGTCGCGTCCCCCGAGGCTGCTGAAGGAGAAGGAACAGAGGTCAGCCCCAGGACCGTCCTGCACATACCTACCTCTCTCTCTTACAGGAGCAGGATCTGGGGATGTCTGCGTTCCACAGAGTGCCCAAGTTTCAAGTGCCAACGTGGCGACTGATTCCAGCTCCCAGTATTGCACATGCTGGAAGGTGGTGTGTGATGGCTTAAGTAGTGGGGTCCCTGAAGCTCCTGAGGGAGATTCCATCCTGAGGGAATGAATTCCAGGCTCCTGGCTTCAGCCCGGCCCTCCTGCGGCTCTCACGGGCTCCTGGCTTCAGCCCGGCCCTCCTGCGGCTCTCACGGGCTCCTGGCTTCAGCCCGGCCCTCCTGCGGCTCTCACGGGTTCTTGGGGCATAAATCACAGTCGAGGAATCACTCCGTCTTTTGAAATAAACACAACTCGCAGAGCCCTTGGGGTAATCCTCCAGTAGACAGAGATCTGTAGGGAGAGCAGCAGGTGCAGTATCAAAGATGTTGAAGGTGAGGCATGGATGAAACAAGAAAGAAAAGAAAACTATGACAAGGAGATGTTCTCCCAGCTGTAGGCAACTGCGTAGGTTGTCTTGTACCTAGGCAAGTGTTCCACTGCTGGGAGAAAAGCAGCCAATAGCTGGCGGGCATCTGGGCCTGCTTAATGCCAAATCTGTGTTAACTATACCAGAGGGCCAGCACAATTGCCTAGTCCTTTTTTCTTTTTTTTGATATGTGGGGGCAGATGCTGGCGCACCGGCAGACAGCATCTCGGGACCTCTTCACAAGAGTGTGTGGCTCCTGGGTAAACAGGCAGGACCCCAGGCTGGCACGGCACACTGTTGGGGACCCAGCTTAGGGATCTGCAAGCTTAGGGGGACTGTAGGGCAGACAAGGGGCAGACACCAGGTGGTTTACAGGAAGGAAACTGGAAGACTTTGGGGGCCAAAACAATACACCCACCCATGTGGGAGATCTGAGCTGTCTGTTGGTACCAACCACCACCTACCTGAGTACACTAAAGCTGCAGCTGGGCGCGAGAGGGGAGCTGCCTGGCAGGGCATGACCACAGTACCCACCAGCGAGTGTTGGGGCAGGGTGTGGTCTATGTTAGCCTGGGCTGTGGCACCAACCAGCATGAGAGAAAACGGGCCTAGAGCAGATTCTGTGGGGGATATGTGGGCTCCCCCTGTGGGACTGCCATGTCTGCTAGCTTACTGAGGAGCTGGGGTGGTGACAGGCTGACCTAGGCATGACCATGGAACCCTCAAGCACTCGTGGGTACTGGGGTGGGGAACAGGCTGGGCTGGTCCAGGCTGTAGCACCCAAGGTCGGGTGTGGGGTGGGCCAGGCCACAACATTAAGCAGCACATACAAAGGTCAAGACAGAGGGGACAGACTGTGCCAGGTAAGGGCCTACCATCTGCTGGCATGTGTGGGGTCTGGATCTAGGAGTGGGCCTGGTGGGGAAACTTGGGGAACCCCCTGGTGAGCTGAAGGTCCTACTATGTGTACATGAGTCAGGGCCGGAGGTTGGTCAGGTTAGGCAGGGCTGCTTCACTTATCAGCAGGTTTGTGGGTTGGCTCTGGGTGGGGGGCAGACCAGGTAGGGCCAGGCCAAACTAGTACACTAGCATGTGCAGGAGCCAGGATGGGGGTGGGCCATGCCAGGCTAGGTAGGCTAGGCTATCAAACCTACTGGTTTATATGGAAGTCAGGGATTGGGGCAGGCTGAGCAGGGATAGGCTGCAGCACCCACCAGTGAGTTGGGTCTGGGGGCAGCGGGGGACAGGCCAGGCTGCAGCATCCAATGGCAAAGGCCAAGACAGGGGATGGGCTATGCTGGGCTGGGTCAGAGCAACCACTAGTACACACAAAATCCTAGGAATCTAGCTGGGCGCAGGCCTGGCTGGGGAACTAAGGGAACGCCTGGCTGGACTATGGTTCCACTGTAAGAGCTGGAGTAGGGGCTGTGCTCTGGGCTGGACATGGCTACAGTATCCCTTGGCACAGGTGTGGGCTGGGTCTGGGATGTGCCAGACTGGACTAGGCACCAGCACTGGTCTGGGCTAGGTCTCGGCACCTGTTGAATATCACAAGAGCTGGGTCTGGGGGTAGGCCAGGCAGGGCTGGGCTGTAGCACCCAACAGTAAGAGCCAGAATGGTCAGGCAAGGTTGCTGTTCCTGCCAGGACAGGAGGTAGGCCAAATCAGGCTGGACAAAGGATCCACTTGTGCATGTGAGATCTGGAAGGTGGCACGATAGAGGCGCTTGGGGAACTCCGTCAGGACACAGTCCCTGCAGATGAGTGCAGGAACCGAGGCTGGGAGCAGCCCAGACCAAGCTAGGTTACAGCACCTGTTGGCATACATGTGGGCCAGGTCTGGGGGCGGGCCAGGCTGGTCCAGCTCAAGCCACCCACTGGCAGATATGAGGGCCAGGACGGGGTACAGGACAGGCCAGACTGGGCCACAGCATCAGCCAGTTCACATTAGTACCAGGACTGGGGGCAGACCAGGCTGGGCTAGGCTGTACCACATGCCAGCATGGGCCAATTCAGGCTGCAGCAGCTACTGGTGAATGCTGAGGTAAGAGAGGCCATGCCAGATTGTGCTGCAGCATCCACCAGCACATGTAAGACATGAGGGGAAGGGAGTGAACCCAGTAGGAGGACAGCAAGGACTCCCCTGCTGAGTCACTGTCCCTGCGGTGGGCATGAGAACTGGACCGGGGGCAGTACTCATCGGCCTGAATGTGAGCTGGGTTAGTGGGAGAGTCAGGCTGGTCCCACTGTCACATGTGCAGGAGCCAGAGTAAGTGCAGGATGATTGGGCTTTGCTGTAGTATCAGCTGGCAAGCGCTAGGACTGTGGGCAAGTCCTACATGGCTAGACTGTAGAACCACCTGGACAGTGCAAGATCTGGGGCTGAAAGTGGACCATAAAGGGAAATTGTAAGCACCTTTTTGCTATGCTGCAGCTCCCACTGGTGAAAATGAGAAACCAGGCCTGGGTAATCCGGCCTAGTCAAGCTGCGGCACCTGCCAGCATGACTGTGTTCTGGATAGTGGGGTTGGTTGGGCTGAGCTAGTCTGCAGCACCCACTGACGTGTGCAAGAACTGAACGGGGTGCAGGCTGGACTAGAGCAAATGGCTGCATACATCAGCATGTGCAGCAATCAGGCTTGGGGTAGCCTAGCCCAGTCTGCTCCAATCCCTGACTCATGCAAACTGCTAAGTTTGATAGCCTCGTCTGGCACGACCCACACCACAGCCTGGCTCCTGCATATGCCCGTGAGCTAAGGTTAGCCTGGGCCCTCCCTGGTCTGCCCCCACTCCAGAACCAACCCTGCCAGGCTTGACTAGAACCCAAGGCTGAATCACATGCTTGCCAGCAGAAGTTACAGCCCATAGGGGAATTTCCCAAGCTCCCCGACCAGGCCCACTCCCAGGTGCAGATCTTGCCCTCACCTGTCTGCCCTCTCCATCCTGGCCTTTGTATGTATTGGTGGATGTTGCGGCTTGGTCCACCCCCATCCTATTCTTGAGAGCACCGGGCTACAGCCTGGACCAGCCTGCCCTGTTTCCAACCCCAGTACCTATGAGTGTCAGAGGGTTCCATGGTTATGCCTAAGTCAGTCTGTCCCCACCCCAGCTCTTAAGCAAACCAGTGCAAATTGCAGTTCTACAGTGTGGGCCCACATACCCCCCACAGAATCTGCCCCCGACCGGGCTCTCCTGTGCTGGTTAGTGTTGTGGCCCAGCCTAACATTGCCTGTCCCCTGTTCTAGCACTCGCTGGTGGGTACTGTGCTCTAGCCCTACCAGTAGGCTCCCCCAGTCCTAGCTTTAGTGTACACAGGTGGGTGGTGGTGATCAATGCTAACCAGCCCAGCTCAGGTCTCTGATAGGAACAGTCTGACTATAAGTACTTCACATTTACATTGCTCCAGCAAAACATGACCATAAATAAAAATGGAGCTTTGGGAAATATGGGTTGGAGTACTATTAATAATCTTAATTGTATCCTCAATATTGTTATAGTTTTATCAGAAATTGATGACCCAGAAATAGCTGCAATAATAGACCTCCTTTGCAAGTTATGCTGTGACTTAATAATGGATATAGTGTGTATGTTAGAGTCTTTTAACAAAGGTGACTCCATCCTCCTAAACTACTGGTGAAATGGGGCCTCCTCTCCTACCGCTCCTGTCAAGAGACTCCTAGGCGCACAAGCCCTCCCCTTATCACCTTTGTCAAGAAGCCACCATGTACGTAAGCATGTCATGGTAAAAATGATAAAGAAGAAACAATTGTATACTAATGAATATGTATGTTTTGAGAATGAATATGCATGTTTGTTAGAATTGAGAGAAAGCAAGTGTTACTGATAGATAACATGTAATAACCAATCAAAACATTGTAAACAACCGCCTGCCTTGCCCCTGGATTTGTATATAAACCCATGCATTTGTCCCAGTTACTGAAGCCAACAGGCTCCCACTAGACTGGAGCCAAAGCCCCTGGGCTTCCACTCGAACTTGCAGGCTCCCACGAGGCCGGAGCCAGAGAAGCCAGCAGGCTCCCACGAGACCGGAGCCAAAGGCCCAGCAGACTTCCACGAGACTGAAGTCAAGAGGCACTCTCGGTGGCTTCCCCCATCCTGTTTGGTGTGTGCTTGCCTGAATAAATGCTTGAATGCTTGATTGCAAAGCATCCACTCTCGACTCTTGGCATTTGTTCTGGTGACCGGGCTCGGTGTCCACGACAGTCTCTCACTTGGGCAGGTGTGTCAGTCTGACCCACAAGTTCTCCAGCTCTCCCCCTTCAAACGGCTCAGTGTCATCCCCCCTGCTTACCAGCAATTCCTTACCTACAACATGCTCCCTCAGTGGTCCTGCCTTCCTCCCATCTCCGAACCCCCTTCCCTGGGCAGTCCATAGTTCCTGTTCCCAGGAGACATGGGCTCCCCAGGCCAGTTTCCCCAAGCCCAGTCTTCCAGTGGAGTGGCATGCTGGTCTGGATCTCTGCCTGCCCACCAGAGACCCAAGATCATGGACAGCTTCCCAGACCCAGTCCTTTGGCACACGTGCAGGTCTAGAACCCTCCTTCTCCACTTGCCTGGGACACAAGTGCGGTGCCTGCACTAAACCCCAGGCATGGCCCACGGGCACACCATGCTAGCCTGGGGCTTTTTCCTCCCCTCTCCCTACCTGCCGCTGGGGCTGTAACACCTGTGTGATATCAGGCCTGTTCTGACAGCCCCCCTCGCGAGTCCCAGACCCTGAGCTCATGGAAGAGAGCTAAGCCTCCAGCAGCTCCGGCTCTGCAAGGATATGCCTTGTAAATTTTATTGAATGCTAGTCATTAAATTTGACCATGTTGAATGTTAGGTATAATTAAATTTTTTTATTGAGATCACTGTAAATTTATAGGCTGATGTAACAGATGTGAAAATGAAGATAGTGATATTGATGCAACTTATTGTAGTAATCTAAATTTCCAGGATTTCCCTTGCATTCATTTGTGTATTTGCACATGTGCCAGTTTTTGGCATGTGTAGGTTCATGTATCCATGGACACAATCAAGACAAAATAGTTGTACTGTGACGAGGACTCAGCCTTATTCCAGTAAGACTCCCATACTGTCTGCTCCTCTAGTCCTCAACTCCTAGAAGCCATTGAGCTTCATTGTTGAGTTGTAAGATTTATGAACTCTGCATGGTGGATCCTTTTCAGATATCATTTGCAATGTTTCTCCCATTTTGTAGGTGGTCTTCACCTTTTCCATTTTAAATATTTATTGTTGGAAAGGCAGACTTCACAGAGAGAGAGAGAGAGAGAAGTCTCTGCCTGCTGATTCATTCCCCAAATGGCCACAACAGCCAGAGCTGAGCTGCTGGGACGCTGGGAGCCACATCTTCCCGGTCTCATGGATGCAGAGTCCCAAGGACTTGGGCCATCCTTCACTGCTTTCTCAGGCCATAAGCAAGAGCTGGCTGGGAGGTGCAGCAGCTGGGACAGGAACTGGTGCCCATGTGGGATGCTGATGCTAGCAGCCAGAGGA